CATTGCTTGCTTGTCATATGGCATTTGAATTAGAAGCTATAAGATAAGACGCAGGTACGGTTAGAATGTGTAACGCGTGTCCATCCATCAGCTGGTGCGACAACCCATGGTGGTTAGAATAAGCTATGAGAGGACCCGAGTCTGTAGGTCTCCCAAGGAAATGACGAGGATATGCACCAAATCACTTAACCTCTACTCATTACAGTATAGACGTCTTTGAGGTGACCTAATGGCTTACAATAACCTTAACACTTCTGGACATCCCCTAAAACACCTAATTAAGCTTAGTTCCAACACTAACCTAAGGGGTAACACCCAGAAACTAGAGACACAACATAGCAGAACGGACTGTAGGCACAACTCCTCCTTAAGAGTTGTCAAATGCTGGGGTTTTCTGCCGGCCGAGCTAGTCCAAGCGACTTCGCAGGAGTCCTTTAAGAGGCAACTGGGTTTATTCTTAAGGACTAAGTATAGTATCATACTATGATTTACCAATTCCCTTTTCCTCTTTTATTGTTAACATACCTAGTTTTCTGCCTTGAGGTATTGGTGATCCCCTGCTATTAGACACGGAAGCCTGTTAAGCGAAAGCTTCTTCTATTCCGTCCACAACCATTTGAACACATGAACTAGGTGCTGAGAGGCTCGCTCATCACAAGTTTCTTGCAACGATTAAGTAGATAAAACAAAGTAGCATTAGATTCAGAAATTTATTCAAGAACTTTCATTAAGAATCGAATAGCAAACAAAGGTTTAGACCAAGTTCCCGTTTAAAAGTTGTATTGGTAATGTTAAGCTGCAGTTTTCGTTGTATTTTTCCAAACGAAAGAGTAAAAGAATTCAAAAGATACTGGAAGTGGTTGTGAGACTAAAATGGACGTCCAGTATCCTTTTTATAATCTGCTGTTCGTTGGATCTCCCGTAAACAGTTCCATAGGGCCATAGTTCCAAGGGCGAAACAGTTTCTAGGGTCTGTGAAGACTCACTCCTGTTGCATTCTAAATGAAAAAATGGTGATGAATTTAGTCAGAAATGTGGAATATATAAATAACCAAACCATATGTTTTTTAGCAAAGAATTTATGCAGTTGTGATTTACCTTGAGTTCATGAATATTAGATAAGGTCAGCTACTATTACTTGCGCAAAGCATAACATGGGCTTAGTACCGTATTACAATGCTTTTATTATTTTGCTCCCATTTAAGTATTCCCATGCATCTGCGTCTAGTTTAACAGGAAAACATACAAGCAGAGTAAGTGTATGGTAAACTAAAAGTCTCAGTTGTCCAAAAGATTTTTAACATTTGTCCACAGCCAGCTGAATTTAATTGAGACACAGAACACTCATCTTCTAGGACTGTATACTGCTGTTTTGCGGGCAACTAAAAGCTCAGACAATTAGCTATCTTGCTACCGATGTTATTGATGGGGAAATTGTTTAATGACAGTGGTCATGAAATATGGTCAGTGATAGATGTACAGTTTAGAAATAAACACCAAACATACTTATCGCTATCTTATAATGCATGATAGCAACAGCATCAAAGGCACGTTTTTTCCTATTTTTAATCAGACTGATCTGAATCCGTATACACATTAGAAACAGGCAACTTTACTTACTAAACTGATCTGTTTCGTTACAGGCTTCAAGCACTATACATAAGTATATCATAATCCTTTCAACTAAACTGAATTATACGACAACCAAGAACACTAAACTAAGCAAGTGTCATAGTTATTGTTTCACTTGCAAAGACATGTTGCTCAAAGTAGGTAAATGGACATAATTAGGCCGATAAAACCAAAACACGAAATATAGGCTAGTTGAACTTACCTAAGAAAATAAGAAGGATACATATATACTGCTTTAAAGGAGTATTCAGTATGAATTCATACTGAAGACAACAGGAAGTTGATCATAGAAACACAGTTTACAAGACAACAAACCTTTCTTCAGTAAAATCATGCACTGACAGTCTATCTGGAAACAATTAACTATGTGAATAAAATCACTATGACTTGAGATATCATCTCAGCGTGCAATGGACGTACAGTGTAACGCAGTCAGACGTGGCGAATAAAAATTAAAAACAGAGAAAAATTAACCACATAATCTAGTTATTTAATTAAAAATACATTATGAAATGACAAAATATGTGGTTACTTGAACGCACAAATGACAGTGTGCGATACATTAAGTTTACATTGGTTGCGTTGCGGATAAGATCACCCCTTACACATGTAGTTGTTGAAATTTTAGAAAACATTATTTGGAAGGAGTTGTTTGGGTATATCAATGAAAACCGGACCCTTTCGGAAAAGCACCATGGTTTTAGAATGGGTTATTCCTGTCTCACTAATTTATTAGTGGCTTGTGAAAGCTGGAGCGCTCTTAACAACTGGAAGTTACATGTAGACGTAGCCAACATTGACTTCAACAAAGCTTTTAACGAAGTACCACAAAACTGCTGTTATATAAGTTGAGAATTATCAGAAATGGAGGCAACCAATTGATGTGGATAAAAGACTTCCTAGTAGGGCGTCAACTAATATTATTGGTGAACTCCAAGTTATCTAGTTATGAAACTGTGCTTAGCGGAGTGCCTCAAGATACAGTTTTGCGGCTAGTGTTATCAGACATCGAGACACATGGATTTATAATTGGATGAAATTTCAGTTTATAACAGAGATACTGTGTACTTGGATATTGTATCCAAAATTACCTTGAAGTACGGCAACACTCAACAAAAATTGAGCGGATTTTCGAAAATCCGGTTTTTTGTTTACATTCTACATAGAGATGCTTGGTTAGTTCCATAAGTCACGTTGTTATTGAAATATTTGTAACTGAAACTTAATCACACCAACATGGTTGAGTCGTTACAAATTTTGGTATCAGATACCAAAAAAAAGACGAATAATATGTCCCTCGTCTTCAAGGGTAATTTATTTTCTTGGAGCGTAATCTAGTATTTCTGTGAGATCATCATAATTAACGGTGCTATAGTTTATTATTTTTTCGAATTTTGTTTTTTTTAGGAAATTTTTCTGGTCTATATATACGAATCAAATATTTATATGTTTTTTTCTAAATATTTACAGCCACACTCATGCATTGCTGCACCATGAATTATTAAAAAGCATATTATGATAGTATGTTACTTATGGATGTAATTAAGGCATACGAATAATGGCCTAAATCCCTGGATTTCGGGGAAACTCTAGAGAACTTTGGGAAAATATTGATGAAAACCCAAAATCTTCTCAAACGTCGTTTAGCAGGTTTCTCCAAAATAAATTAAATTTGTAACTAAGACCCCTGAGTAATGAAAAATGTTTGAGATTTGTCTCATTTTTCAGAAATTACTTAAAATGTCCATCTGCAACCCGATCAAAATTTCTCCAAAACTGATAAGATTTTCCCCGAAATCGAGAGAATTGGTTAACAATCAGAGAAAATGTTGAATATTCTTGAACAATTTTTTTGCACTCAAACAATCTGGGAAGTGTACGTACAGCTTTAATAATTTCGAAGATAGATTAAGTAATTTGTAAAAAGATATTACATCCAGAATGTTTTTATACATATAACTTTTATGTAAAACATGGGCTTTCTGATTATTTACTAGCCATCACACCGGAAAAGATATATGTATGTAAACTAAATTGTGTGTTCCTTAAAATACTTTTAATCAGTGCAGTTGGAGACGGAATTATACTTTCGGACAACGACACTTCTCTATCTGACTTCAGCACTTCCAAACACATAAGATTGCAATTCGCATATCATACAATTTTGATGTTATTCATTTCTCAATAAGCTATTCAACTAATGCATGAGATATGGTATCAAGCAAACAAATAAAAATTTTAAGGTTTTAGATATATCAGGTTTTTGTGACTTTGAATATGTTTCATGTGATATTCATAAAATTCCATAAAGGAGATTTACAAAAATCGAAAACAGGATAATATACAAACGTGCTTCACACCGTAGATAGTATTATCAAACAATATATGGTGATTTAATTAGTTAGTTGTTTAAAGTAAAGCATACCATAGATTGAAACTGTTCATATTCCCGATATGGAATATGATATTTATGGAACAGCTTTAATCAGTTCCGAATTTTATTTCTGCTTTACAGTGCCTTATCAAAACCATTTTGCATTGAAACATTTCTTTTCACGTTTACTGACTCTTTGTAATTATTTGATCATTAATCAAGTGAAATGAAATTGAACAAGTCCTATTGTATTATTTCTCATAAAATTGTGTGATAATTGACTGTTAGAAGTAAAAATGATTTGGTGTACTTTTTACACAATACTTTTAGAGACAGACAATATGAATTAACCCAAGTCTTAACTGAAAAAATCAGGTCTCTTACGTAGTTTCCTTATGTATCTGAACTTAAGTCATTAGAAAAATTTGTTTAACACCATTCTTTACATTAAGTTATGTTAAATATACTTTTTTTCGGACAGAATCACATACACAAGTTTTTATATCTTGTCCAGTGTGAGAAATAACTACGGTAATGGATTTCGTATTTCACTGTCAAAGTATGGATTAACATGACAAACTACTGATTGATCCAGCAACTAGCATAATCAACCCTGAGTTACTGAATAAACTAACGGGATTGCTAAAAATTATAACTTTATGGAGATCAAAACCAACCGGCATTATTTAGATGTTTCTTAGCCCCGCCAACCTTTCTATTAACGTGTGTACGATGTCATTAAGCCTAGATTTTATGCCTATGAGTTCTCAATCCTTTAAACGATCTAAAACTGAAGTATTGTCTTCTAGCCTTTACAATCCGTTCATTTTCTGAGAGTCCATATTGATTTCAAATCTCTATTTGACAAGAGTAAAATGTTGTAGATATTAATAACAGTCTAATGTAACCGTCAAAAATGTTATATAAAACCAGATTTAGGATTTCTAGATACAGTTATCACTCGACTGAAAAACTCTTTCAAATAATAATATTAATGACAACATTTCTAGGCAAAAAATATTCCTGTTTTCTAGGACGATCAAATCGAAATTCAGACCACCCCAGTCAACGTAATCTTGTCCAAGTTTATACAAGTTTACCTCCAGGAATCGATTCAAAAGTGACAGCTTATCTCATCTTAATTGTCCGCCTCTTTCGCCCAAACTCGTCATACACTGGATCGAAACGTGTGGAGTCGGGAAGTAATTCTTTGAATGACATTTATGTACAAGTTCGATGGTGGGGTGAACCGGTTGCAAAGAAATGCGCTATATTTTACCCTCGACTAGCGCATAAAGTTGGACATAAACAGGCAACATGCACCAAAGCTCGCTACAGAATCACCGTACCATTAGATCGATTTAGTGCTTATCTTAAAGGTATAATTTTGTTAATTACAATAACTGAATTATTATTTCAAGTCCGAACAATTAACTTCAGTTGTATGTTGCATGGTTATTACTATCTGATATATTTCGATTTTCTAGTGTGTAGACGTTTATTCTAAAAATTATTTTGACTACTTACTGGACTTAATAACAGGAAAATTGTGATAGCCTGGTACTTCTTTGCAGTGTACATTCACGGCTCACATCAGATCAAACTCAGTGTTTTTATATCTCCTATCAATTATAAAAAAATTATATCACTGTGATGGAATGTAACAGTTTACATATTTAATTGTAATCTATTCAAAATGTAGTGTTATCTTTATCTAAAGACATAGATGAACAACTGTCTAACCGCTAAATTGACTGACTTTGAATGTTACAGTGTTTACTTTAATTTTGGGAGACTCAATTTGAGGCTTGTCAGTAATAAGCATATGATTATTTGCTGACTACTTTTTTGATTCGTTACGTTATTGACACTATTTAAATAGTTTCACGTAATTAACTCGGATAATTTATTATGGTCATGAAGAAATAGCGACACGCATTCACAAATTCTATGAATAACATTGATTAACACGAGATTGATTTCAAATTTCAAAAGATGAGTTACAACGTTGAACAATATATTTATCTGTTGTTTGTGTATCATATCTAATACATGGGTTGGATGCCGGCTTAGTGGTCTAAAGGTTAAGCGTTCGCTCTAGACCGATGGGCCCTGGGTTCGAATCTCAGGGGGCAGGATCGTGTATACGCACATCTGAGGAGTCCCATACTAGGATGAAACGGTCATCCAGTGCTTCCAGGTTTCTCATGATGGTTTAGCTTCGATTGACTCATGAATTCAATTATTAAATTACTACAACTTCCATAAAATCCCTCTCTGAGCATGGAGTTATTTTTAGTTAACAGTTTTTAAACAAGCAGATTAGCAAGTAAAACATTACTTTGTCTTAATATCCTGTAATCAGTTAATTTGCGGATATTTTATATTGAGATATTTATATGCGTGTATGTATTTATTTCGAGATATGCGGGAACTGCGTCTGGATGTTATTGATATTCGTCATCAACGTATTATTGGACGTGGACGACTAGATAAAGTTGATCGTTTGACTGCAACTACGCCAATTGATACGTAAGAAGAGTTATAGTTTTTATAGTACAACTTAAATACCTTTAACTTTAAATTTTGTGCGTACAAACACTAATTGCTTACCTCTTAAATAATGAGACTGTAAGTTTCCGGTTATATATATATTCAAAAGTTTGACTTATCTCTTTCTAAGCCGTAAGAACTCCATATTATCAGAATCTATTAGGATATGTGCATGCTGAGTGGATTGCCTTCATACTGCTATTAAATCGTAAGTTTATTAGTAAACTTGGATTGTGGCTAGCAGTGAGATCCAGCAGGCGAGTCCAGCAAACGAGCTTAGAATTGGTCGAAGTGCTTGTGCTGGATTTTATGCCTAGTCATTAATTCGATTTTGCTGAAACTTATATTTTAGGTTGAAAGTAGTTATTGATATGGCGTTCTAGAAGTGAAACTTACATAGTGTTACAGTGTACTATTTCAAGCCCGCGTAAGTTACCAAACTTTCTAAACAGACAGATTTATCTATTTTTTCGAGTCACATTTTAATCTTGTCAATGTGTGTGTATTGCTTACCTTATTCATAACATGTCATTAGCTTATTTTTGTCCGGCTGTAAATACCGAGTCACGCTTGGCCAACTTAGGTTGACAAGCCTGCCTTCTTCTCACTTCGCTTTCCTACTTCTCATTCTTAAATTCTCTCTGAGTAAACAAGTTCCTGAATTAAATTCACCCAAATAAACCCTCAGTTGGCTTATTATTACCGCCATCGCACAAAAGGGGTTAGCCTAGGTGTAACATACTGAGTTAAATTGAAGATTTATATTCATGGCATATTCATTCTTTCCTTCAAATCTCTTTTATGGCTTAGCCTTCAATAACGAGATAACAGCTTCTAGAGTCGTATTGAACTAGCAGGATGTCTGGCGCAGAATAAACCTCAACAATAGAAGTGGATGATGGTCTCTCAATATCCCAAAATATTATTTTATTTAACATTTTTCTAAATTTGTCAGTATTAAAGAAGATTTCAGTTTAAATTGATCATTGAATTTCGGTGTTCTTTTCTTTGCACAAATGTAAAGCATTTTACCCGTTATTAATGAAGTTGGCGAAAAATTGGGAGATTTAAATATATCTATAATGATCGAACCAGTTTTAAGTAAGCTTTATTTAATAATGTTATAATTGTGATAGTCGTGTTTCATAATTTAAAGATAAATTCATCCGATAATGTTGTAGTTAATCCACAAAGTACAGGATTATTTACTAGGTTAAACAATTATATTCTATGTAACTAAGAAGACAAATGATGTCAGACATTTAATATGATATTTCTTCAGTAAATAATTCGTTACAAGGTCATTTGATTTACATCTTTACGATAAACTTAAAGCAGTATCTTTCCAATTAATTCAAAAATCAGTTTGATTTTCTACAGAACGAAGCTAAGTGTATTTTGCTGATGACTGTTAAGTCTTCATATCATGTTTGTTATTAAGAGTCGTACTAAAATGAGGGCATCACTCTATGAGAGGATCTTTACTGGAGTACTATTTTTGAAGTTATAATTAAGTGAACGAAAACTCAGTTAGGGAAAGCTAATTTTCTTGTTTAATGCAAAATCACACAATGGCTAAGTAAAATATGCAAGTCATGCATTATATACATCATCTGCACATCTTTACGTTGTCATTCATATACTCGATTATTCTTCTGATTCTGTTGTTATTTTGATTACTTCACGATATCCTTCCTGTTTCATTCACTTCAATCTTTTGCTGTCGGGCATTCTACTTCTAATATTTGTTAAATGCTAATTATATCTCTCAGCATATATAGGATTCACCACAATAACACAAAGTGGATCTGATTTTGCTACATCAAATTATCATTCATCATGGCTATCAACAGTTATACAAAATTTGTTCACGTTTTCTACGTTCCATTGGTTTTAACTGATACAATAAATATTTAAAATTCTAAATCTACTTTTTCCCTTATTTTAAATACCTTGTTCATAGTACCGTTGTTTGAGTGACATATTTCAATAATAATCCATAGTTTTTCCATATCACTCTCATTCATACATCTTATTTAAAATCTAAGTAATATGTTAAGCAATGACTGATAAACATGACCTATAAGCCACTAATCAATAATTAGCCAATATAATAAAGTTATCTACTTTATTTGTCCTTTTTTTCCGTTATACAACAGATTTGTTTTTGTTTATGTATTTACTCATTGAATCTAATACTTTTTTATATTTCCATTAAAAGATTCAAATTCTAAGCCTATGGCAACACGATTTAATTGGAGAAAAATAGATCATGATAAATTATTTGAAAATAATAATACTACTATTGACAATAATCATGAGAATGTTGATGATAAACAACAACCAATAGAAAATGATGAAAATTCCATGAATTCATTTAAACAAGAACATGAAATTTCATTTACTAATAGTGATCATAGTGTTATAAATGAACAGGTAAAATGAATTTGTTTTCATTTAATCATAAAATTAAATAAATCTGTGAATATTTTACATGTGGTTACAAATGATTTAAAATGGAAATATTATTTGTAGTGACTACAGCGCAGCAGTTCATTCCATCCTACTTTATGGCAATGGAATGTGGCCGGTAAGAGTAGAGGATATTCGTAGTTTACTAGTATTTAACCATAGGTGTCTTTGAAACATTGCTCGTATATCCTGGGACCACCAAGTAAGTAATACAGTTGTAAGAAAACGGGTACTAGGTAAGGATGGCAAATCAATTAATGAAGTGGTGAAACTTTATCAGTTGAGATAGCTGTGACATGTGTTATGTATGTCCAACCACCGACTGCCTCGACGTGCGATGTTTTCTGATGTAGGAGTAGGTTGGAAGAAAGTTAGGGACAGCCAGACCAAAACATTGCACAAATCCATGAAGTTACTGACAAGTGTACTGAGCCATGTTTGTAGGTGTAGATTACCTGGTTGGGTTCTACGAGACGACAGCAACCTATGGTTAGAGACCTTGAATGACACATGACTCAAAATTGTTTGCAATGGCGCAGGTGCATCCACTCTTTGTGTTCTTCCAAATTTTAATCTCCTGATTTCTCCTTGTCACTTTTTTCTCTTTACAAATCTATTTCACTGTATTATATTCCTTGAATAACATCTTCAAACCTTAATGTTTCTGATTACTGTTTATACTCTTACTATCTCTACCACTATGGGATTTGAATCGACAATCGTATCTGTGTGCTAATGTGTTATGGCAACTCGAAGTGATGTACGTACGTACGAACTTCCACGTTGTGACTGACTAACTGACTATAGAGACTACAATTTGTACACTTTCGAATTTTTAAAAGTTGTTTTAGATGTCGTTTGAATCAAGACCATTATTAATGTGGCTTTTGTATGGACTGTCCTATAATGATAATTTTAATTAATCATTCTGAAACCTCTTGAAATGACAAATAAACTTTATTTATGTCCAAGTGCTATGGAAGTAGGCTATGAGAGAACCTTCTGTATCTATGATCTGTCGAGGTCACAGTAATCATTATTTCTGTGGCATAGAAAACTGAATGGTTTTTAGTTAAAGAGTTTCGGGTGACATGTCTCAGAATGAGTTACATTGACAAAGATGCATTAATTGTCCATCTTGTTCTAAATCTTGAGTTCCAAAAAATCCTTCATAAATAGTCAGTCAGTAACAACGTAGAACTTCGTACGTACGTACATCACTTCGAGTTGCCATAACACATTAGCACACAGATACGATTGTCGATTCAAATCCCATAGTGGTAGAGATAGTAAGAGTATAAACAGTAATCAGAAACATTAAGGTTTGAAGATGTTATTCAAGGAATATAATACAGTGAAATAGATTTGTAAAGAGAAAAAAGTGACAAGGAGAAATCAGGAAATTAAAATTTGGAAGAACACAAAGAGTGGATGCACCTGCGCCCTTGCAAACGATTTTGAGCCATGTCTGAACGTGTGTCTGTGTTCTAGAACCTGACGTAGTGTGAATATCTGTTCTATACAACCACGTCCAGCTCGAAAACCAGCCAGATTTTCTCTAGCCTGCTGTTCACGAGCTTTAGTTAAGCGTCGAAGTATTATTAAAGCTGATATTTTAAAGACTTTATTAGTCAGACTGATTCCTCTGTGATTGTCACAAGAGGACTTTTGTCTTTTTTTATAGACTGGCACAATCAGTGATTGAGGCCAGTCAGATGGGATTACGTCCAGTTCACAAATTCTACCTAAGACCTCAGTTAATCCCACTGCTAATACTGAACCACCATCCTTAAAAATATCAGGAGTAAACCTGTCAGGGCCTGCTGCTCTCCCTCACTTCAGATTTCATATGGCTTTTTCAACTTCGTAAAGAGACGGAGGACCTACAATAACTTGCCATTCAGGTTGACTGGAGATCGTGGGAAACCAAAGTGTGGCTGAAGGCCAGTTGAACTGATCCCTAAAGTGTTCTGCCCATCGATCCAATCTCCTGGATTGAGAATGAATAATATGTCCATCTTTCTCTGAGATTGTTTCGCTAACGGTCGGGTTCCTAATTCCGGTTTCCTTAACGAGCCTGAACAATTGTCTGCTATTACCTATTGCCGCTGCCTTTTCCATCTCTCTTGCTTTCGCTACCCACCACTGTTCGCCATCATTGCGTAGACTTCTTGTCAGCTTGCGCTTAAGCTGACTCCGCTCTTCATTATGTTCAGAGCCAGGTGGAATGAGTTTCCGAGCATCTAACAGTGAGATAGATGCTGCTGAGATCCAGTGTTGCTCCCTAACCTTCTGATTTACCTTACTAGCAAATATCACTGCTGTTTCCACAGCTTTTCGGATATCATTCCATGCTGCATCGGGGTGGGCATCACATACATGGCTGCCTAACTGTTTTCCTAGTTGTTCCTGAAATATACTCTTAGCTTGACTATCATTAAGTAGGCCCCTAAGAGGTTTCCTACGTCTAGTAAGACGCAAGCAAATACGCGCTCGCACTAGAGCATGATCTGAATCTAGGCATGTGCTCCAGAATGAGCGACAGTCTTCTATCGAGCCCCTCCATCGGTGGCTGATAGCGATGTGATCTATTTGGGTCCAACGTTGGGACGAATTAGGGGGTCGCCATGTTAAAAGATGTTTTTCCTTATGCTTAAAGTTAGTATTTGAAAGGAACAGGCGGTTATCTGAGCATAGCTGCAACAGACGGTCGCCATTATCTGTTCTTTGAGCCACGATGCTATAAGATCCACCCAGGTGTCTTTCCCTATCGCTCAGTTTACCTAATTGAGGATTAAAGTCACCGACCATTATAACTACACCCGAGCGCCTAGCTTTTTGGAGAAGGTCGGAGAGCTTTCTGTAAAACTCATCTTTTTTTATTATCTGTGCTGCAGTCAGTGGGAGAATTGGCAGAGACGACGAAAAGGCAACGACGAGTGTCCCTATCTTTCCGAGTCCTTATTGTTCCGTATACTCGGATAGCGCACAAACGACTGTCTACTGGGATCCACTCTAAGAGAGCTAGTTCTGCTCTAGGACTCAATGCTATACCTACGCCGGCGAGTCCACGAGAAGCAGCATCTGAGCTTCCAGATACGCGAAGTGTGAATCGAGTTGGTTCTTTGTTTTGACATGGTAATGTCAAATGAATGACGCTACTCGGATCCTGTATGCGCGTTTCGGAGACGCAGCACACATCGATGGCGCGAGATTCTAAAGTTCTAGCTAAGGAAGCCTGTTGTCTTATTTGGCATAGTGTTCGTACGTTAAAAGCTCCTACATGTAGTTTAGAGCGTGGTTTCAGGAAACCAGGAATAACGTTCCGCATATTCGAATCGTTTGCCCTAGCGATGCGAGGTGAAGAAAGGACGTGAGAAGGATTAGTCGGGGAGATAAGAGTGGTATTAAGAGGTGTAGGAAGGATTTGAATGTGACCAACGTGGTCTCGTGTGCTGTCACGGGTATGAGGGCTGGTGTCACTTCTCGGTTGCCCACACCGTGGAAGCGTATTTCTTGAGAAATCTGAAAAGTAAGATGGATTAATATCGGCCTTAACGGTCTGTGAGCGTGACCGCAGAGCCCAGGGGACAACTGCTTGAGACCGGTCGCGCACGACCTTTTTGTGGGAGATTTGTGACGTGTTAGCTCCGTTCTTCAAAGAGCTTTACCTCCGGAGACGGAAATCCGTGGGGTAAGGTGAGGTGTGACATTTTTAGGGTCGACCTTTTCTAACCCATTCTTTCCTTGTGAGAAGGCAGCATCGCTGTAGATGCTGGTTGTCCGAGGGAAACACGTTACTGCTGTCACACCCCTCTACAGTCAGCAGTACGACTTCGCCCTCATATCTTGAGTTGCTGCTTTTAGTCTTACCGTTCTCCAATCGACCTGCCTGGCATGGTAGAACCTACAGGAAAATATGTTCCAGCCAATATAGCTCGGTTGGGTCATCACGATAGGCAAGCCCGACTACCGCGTCAAGGTAGCAGCTACGGTTTTTATAAACCATGTTCTTCAATGTTTTGCCTCCTCATTATCATTAACATTAGACTTGTTTCGACTCATTAACTGTTCATTTCGTTAATCTCATATTATTGTGTTAATTTTTCATAGCGACTTAAATTAACATATATTTATGCCAGGCTCTGTAGTAATTATGACTGACTAAATGATTGATTACGATTTTTACTCACTGTGCAGTACAAATACTCCGTTAGTATCAACAAATTTGAACTCTTGAGTAAATACCATGCACATTTTACAGAGCTTATGTGACACTAATTTATAATTATTAATTTCAATTAAGTCAGGGAGACTTCGGTAACGTCTTTTATTGTTAGTTGATTGGTTTTTTTGACATCATAGTTACTGCTATAGACACATAGTCGTTGAATTGCAATTTCAACTTCTTAAGATATCCAACTTTTCCTAAATTCTTGTCCTCTTTCTTTAATCAGGTTTTGGATTACAATTATTAAAGTGGTGTGATGCCTAATTATCGAGCGCTTTAGAACGTGTAAATTCAACTCATATTAAGCAACATCTTTCAGTTGTTCACAATTCGGAATAATTGTAAACTATCTCAAAATAAAACGATACCTATTAACTATTTAATCCGTAAAAATAAAAATATCAACTAAAAATAGATTCATGAATGACCATTCTGAAATTTTATTCGTTCCTTATCTGTTGATCACCATCATTCGAATTTCTTAACCTTTTTTCTTGTTACACAGATTAATTCTATTCAATTTCAACAAAGTAATGATGTTGTTAATGAACATCCGGTTGATTTAGACATTGGATCTCTTGATCAAGATAATTATCATTCATCTCATACTGTGAATTTACTTGATAATTCAAATAATTATAGATCATGTACAACTATCCAAGGTCATGGCAAGGAATTAGTCAATAACGACAACGATAGTTTTTCAATTCATCAAGAAAATAACAATGATGCTAATTTTTCAAAAAGAGAAGAACTTTTATCTGTTGCATTAGAGAAAAGTAAACATTTACGTGAAGCATTAAGTTGTTCATCAATTTTCAACCAACATGATTATAATGAGAACGAAACTGATGATAAGAATAATATGAATGGGTTGAGAGAATCTCGATCTTATACCAGTGATGGACGTTTCTCAGACGGTTTAACACGAAATAAGTTAGTCAAACATTGATTTTTTGTTATTCGATTCGTATGTGTTTGTTCATTCTTTATTTTCGTTTGTGACAATTGAAGAATGTTTAGTCTGTGAATTGTTACATAGATTCCTGTATGGTGCAATTCAAATAGAGTCACCTTAAAAATCAGATATCAGAAAACAGTATAACTATGTAATGTTTTGTAGACGCCACAAACAGAAATCAACAGTGATGAAACATTTAAAATATTGAATGATTAAATTATCAACTTTATCAACTCATCAAACTATTTCATATTAATTATTAAACTTTTTTTCGTCTACTATAGATTACATCATCATTCAAGTCCTGATCTTCGGAGTATCCTGTTTGAAGATTGTACACATAATCATGATAATCGCATTCATTTAGCATCACAATTGAAAACCAAAACAAATAATCTTAATTTAATAAAATATATTCTTGACAATGAATCATTGGATGATCCAGTTCAAGTCACTACACACAATCATCATAATCATCATCGTCAGCATCACGCTAATTGCAAAAAATGTGTGCATTTAGAAAATTTAATGTTCACCAATGGTAATAATTGTAATCTAGATGCAGATCAGGGAATCGATGTCACTCAAAACTATCCATTATCAAAGAATAACATGAATGTTCAATTTGGAAATTCAGAATATGTAAAAGAAGATGATGAATTAATTGAAAATTTATTATATAACAAAGAAGTAAGTTATCAATAAATGATATTCAATATTTCATATTTTTAATTAAATAACATACATGAGCAGGATAAATTAAATCAATTAAGTTGTAAGCTTTATTTCAAAAATTAAATAGGACTGAATGGCTGTTGACTGAGAGAAGAAAAAATTGCTTAAGTAGTAAGGGTTTTTGTGAACACTGTTTAGCATTAAGGTAGGTATTTTCATCGCGAACTGACATTCGCATCTGGCATGGCTAGTGTCCACCCCTGGAGAATCCTACACTAATGTTTTCTAATTTTCAGTGATTTTGAAAGTGATATCCACATGTAATTGAAAACCAATGGAAATAAAGATATGGGTTACTATAAGTTGTATTCATCTCATTTGGAGTATCACTGAAAATCAGTAGACATTGAACAGTTATTTAATCTTAGTACGAGAATCTTCAGCAGTATACCCACGACCATGTCAAGAATCGAATTCAGGACCTTCAGGGGAATGTTTCTTGCTTTAGTTTGACTTGAAATTAGTTTTTGTCTGAATCATTTTAGCAAAATTATTTGGCAATAATAAAGTAACTAAAGCAGTAATATATGAACTGAAATAAGTTAATACTTGATTTTAAAAAAGGATTCGATATAGTAACCTCACTTGAACGTCGACAATAATCACAGATAAGACAATTCCATAAGGACAAGTAGAGCAGTAGTAGAAGTATTAATAATACAAATATTATTTTCGTGCTTGAAAAACTGTCAGTTCAAACAAACAAACAAACAACAGCGCAATTCACAGGATCAGAACAGTCATTGACATGTATGTTAAATATCACAAATAATAATTACTGTAAAGTACTTTCTGAGTGTATGCTAATTTATGGTCATGATCAGGTTAATACTAGATGAATGCAATAAAATAAAAGTATTTTAAAAATCGTGATATACAAATCATTTACTGTAATGATATTCAAAATATGAATTATATGATTGCGGTAAACTTCACAGTGTTGATTGGATTTTAGACAGCAGAACTGTAATGGTTATCAATCTTCTAAGTAGAGAGTTGTCTTTTGTAATTAGCACATCAGAAACATAATTTCTTTGGGCAAGTGGCATAACTACCTTATCATAAGCATTTTGGAATGGCATATGATTCTTTGTAGGACGCAGAAGTTAAGAACTAATATTTTTTTAGTAGGAAGACTAAAAGATAATTGTTTGTGAGGAGAGATATTAATTAGTGTAGCATAAAAAGATTCCAGTCTTCTTACATGATATATAACTAACTACAATTAAAGAAAAGGAAACGAAAATATAGAGCACAGAACAATAATAAAAATTACTATGATAGATCTTTTGTCTTATATGTGCTTGATTGGTTTTGAACGTCCTGATTTAGACCTATTTATGCTCAGACTGGTATGGGACTATTTTGTGAATTTGTTACAATGTACTGTATTGAAGTTTAATATATTTACATGTATCCAAGATTATTATTCTATGAATGTGTATTTTTTATTTTGCTCACTTGCGATGGGACTAGGGAAGCTAGTTGATCATTGAGGACATTAGAAACATATTCATTAGAAAAGATTACTAGCAACTTCTTCAAATGTAAAATTCCAGTTATTCATACATCTATCTACTTCTTGAAAGCATTTCTTTGAGCACTGACCTACTCAAGTATTCATTTGAATTGTATATCTTTATAATTGGAATATATATTTCACAAATTCATGAATAATTATAACATAACTTAATGTACGGTCGATGTTGTACTGTGATATTTTAGTCTAGATCTTTAGTTAAGTATCGATGGAAATTTTACCTATAGGAAGCTATTGTTTGTGAAGTCACCAGGTAATAGTGAGTAATAATAGTTGTTGCATTTCTTAGATTAGCCGAAATTGAATAGTGCAGACTACGGGCTTTTGGTTCAATATTTTTAAGTATTCCGTGTGGTAGAAATACGAAACAACAGTTATTGTATCTTTAACATACATTCATTATCAGGTTTTATTTTATTTTAGACTAAAATCTGAACCAAGTAAATCAGTGAATAACGCATTGAATTTTAGGCTTTCGAGTCTTGGTATAAAGATCTATACTAGAACAAAGGTACTATTCATCTAACTAGTCCCACATAGGATCTAATGCACTTATTGTTCTTCATTACTGCCCACTCTCTAACTTTGATTAAGACCTGTGATTAAATTGGAATATCAAGGTAATCCTTTCACGATAAAGACTGGTCAACTACAGTCCTTAACATCAACAACGGGAATGTATAAATACTTACAAATACAATCAAACCTTGTTTCACGTACATTATTCCACTCATATTAATATAAGAAAAAAATTGTTATTATTATTTTTAAGTTTGTTTATTTGTTTCTTTGTTTTAATCCCTTTTAGAATTCTATCGACGAAAATGAATTGTTGAATTCAAATAATTTATTCAAGCAATGTAATAACGTACAATCATTAAAACAGGATACTTTGAATGGAAAAACTATGAACCAACATTGTCCGAATAGTCAGTAGTGTTTTTACTCATCTAATATGCTTTATTTTATGGATATTAAAATGTATCCATTTTTCTTTAACTTTTATATACTTTATGTTATCTAGATTGTGGAAATTTTGTAGTTTAGTTCACTGAACATTGAATGTATAAATTACGTCAACATACGAAAATGATTTGCTATTCAATCACTAGTTCTCTGTCTATTTGTCAATGCCTATATGAGATGACTTGGGCAAGTATGTAATTATAAAATTCTCGAAGTCTCTATACTTTTACTGTTGTTTGCTAATGATGTCAACTGTAGTCAATTAAAAATCATTTTCTTCACATTATCATTCGCCAGTTTACCGTCATACATTGGAGTAGTATTACGGTACTTACATACAGTTATATGCAACGTAGAATCTGGTACATATATGTATTGGTTCAAGCTGCCACACCATATCAGCACAGCAAGTTGAAATAATGATGATGAATACCAAAGCAGAGGTAGTATCAGTGTCAGTAAAAAAATGAACGGACAAAACACTTGTGGAATAACTGGAAAGCTCACTTTTACACGGGGTACACGTTGATGTCCAAAACGACAATGAAGTCTCTGAAAGTAAACTATCTAACTCAAATGACAGAATACTACTAAGCGTTTTCATAATTATCACATTAGCTTTGATATAAATTTATTTTACCTTGCCTTATTCTTTTGTATTTACATATATAGATTTATCTAAATCTGGTTGTACTCTGAAAGGAGCCAATTTACACCTTAAATGTTTAAGTTTATGTAGAAAATATGCCGAAAATAAAATTTCCAATGTTGTTAATTCTTCTAAATCTACATTATATAAAACATCAAGAAATCCAACGAAACTGTCATTACAAAAATCTCATCCAATGTCATTATCACCAGTATTGCCATTTAATAAAGTTAAATCGAATGACATCAAGTAAGTGATTTATAAGAATTTGAATAATATACAGTTTTTACTAATTAATAAATGTAATAGTAATATCTTCTCGACAGTATTCGAAATAATTACTGTTATATATGAATTTTGTGTCAAGTTATTATGAACTCCTTAATAAGTTTATATATTAAAAGCATGTTAGCAGAAAGTCGTAAGGGTTGATTTCTCTTACCTGACAATTATCATAATGTGATATTTCAGTGATCTAACAGAATTGACGTTCGTGAAAATATTCGACTCAGTTTCATCTTATGTCTAAATCACAAGAGTTATTACTAAGCTATTAGATTCATAACTAGTTTTCTGTGGGACGGATATACAATACTGCTGACTTTAACACTGGGTGATGTGTGTTTGAACCTTTGAAGATTATTGATTCTTTCAGGATTGAAGATAAATTTTTCAAATGAGCACCGAGTAGTGAATAATCTTCCTTACTATTTTTCCGTATGTACAACATCAAATTAAAGTGCTCTGAAGTATCAAACTGCATAGTTTAATTATCGAAATGGAAAAGCGTTCGGCATATAAGTAAAAACTTAGGATCTTGAAACAGTTTCAAGATCTTTTACATCTATAAATTACTGTTCATTTGTTTTTAGTCTCGTGAGCTCATTAGACATAAGATCATGTAAAGCCAGAGAATTAAGTATAAATGTACAAATATAAGTAGATAGTTAGTTTAAGGGGTCTTTGAAGATTTCTGAATTTTACGTTTTAAATCACAGAATGACTGTTGAACATCCATTGAAAATCACAAAGCAGGGAACAGCTTTTTATTTTCAATATAAGTGAGCATCTGCAACGCCACCGGTGATGGAACCAAGGATCTCCAGGTCTCGTGGCAACCACTGAGTTGGTACCTAGTGGTTTACCTTTCTGAAGAGTCTCATGCAAATACGAAACAGCTGTCCAGTGCTTCTTGGTTTCTAATAGTTGTTTAACTGAGATTATGTAAACTGTAAATTAAGACTTAAATTAAAATTAACAATCTAGAGAGATAAATAACGAATTATTCAAGTAAATATTACCTTTTTAATTAGTTAATTGACATAGTCAATGTAATTTAAATAGATAAAGGCATAGTTTGTATATTCCAGTCTAAGCATAGGTTAAACCTTGCAATTTATATGCTGAGTTCTGATTAACATTGATCACGCAAGCATCTCTCATCGACTATCACTTCAAAATATTATTCACAAGTAATAGTATAATGTTTTTCGACTTTTATCTAAAGTTATACGTACCAATGCTTTTCCACGAACCCAAATTGAAAAGTCCAGATCACGACCATCGGTTTCACATGCAAATGCTTGACCTCCAAACTACTGAGCCGAAATCCTATGATGTAAAATTTTGATTTCAATTCATGTAAGACGGACGCGTAACATGAAGAATTGATTGGAATTATCTCTATACACCATTGACTCCTGACTCAGTGGTCTATAGGTTTTGTTTGCATGCAAGACCAAAGTCCTTGGGTTCGATTACGAGTTGCGGGGTCGTAAGTACACACTACTGAGGAGTCCCATACTTCCATGTTTCCAGTGGTTATCAAACCTAGAGTGATTCGTGAGCTCAATTAAATTCAACAGTCTTCCCAATCATATACTGATATTCATAGCGGTTAACAGTTTTATTTCGATTAGAAAGACTTTAAGATCGTTGTGCTTTTAGGATGTTTTCATAGTCACGCATTGCCATAGGGTTAGTCAGTCATTTGCTAATTGTGAATACTCACTAATATTTGAAAACTTAGCGAAGTTTGTGACGTTTTGTTGGAAGCCCTTGAGAATTTCTTGGGATTGTCTTCAGAAGTTGGAAAGAAATGTTTTTCCAATCAGCGTTCAGTAGAAAATTAACAGAGAGTTGTAGAAAAGCGACTCATAATATTTTCTGTTCTGACTGGATGATTTCTAATTCTGCGAGTAAACTTGTCATATTTTCAGAAGCTCTTAGAGTATTAAGTTTGCCCATAACCTACTCATAACTATCCTTTTTTATGTACCCAAAACTAATCTTGGGAGCCACCCCTCTTTTCATACCCCCGCCATCTCTGTCTTTCGTCCGGTGTTTAAGTGTAGGAAATTCTGAGAAACCTGTGAACGATTGAGAAAATCGGTATTAAGTGTTCAAGCTCCATGCCTTTCAGTTAATATAGGCATCGGAACATTAGACTAACGAACTGTAATAATATTTCGATTTAATTTGTAATGGTTTTTATACTCTCTGTTGTCGCTGTTAAAGATTGATATTGATCAGTCAGAAACCGGAAAATTCAAACCATTACAAATCAAATCGAAATACAATTCATAGCCTTTTAATAAACTGGCGATTGTTTGGATACAATAGCTAAGTGGATAACGCGTAGACCGTTTAAAGCGAAAGGTACTTGGTTCGAATTCTAATGTAAGGATGAACACTAGGATGTGTTTTAAATCCAGCTGACAAATCCTAATTAAGATTAAACGTGTGTCATAATATAAATTTCTATACATTTAGGTAATTCAATCAAACTATTTTGATCATCATAATCATACTGGCTATATTCCACTAACACTATGACCTCTTCTAATAGAACTTGAAACAATGTATCATTACAAAACTGTAGTAGTTCATAAAATCATTTGTGTTGTTGTTTATTAAAATGGTTGACAATTCATTATATTGAACAATAGATCATTCTACTCTTTACATCTTTTCCTTGTTCATATGATTATAGTACTTTATTGGACAGTATTTTTATGGAGTTAGAAATATCTGTTCCAACGTTGTCATCATTATCATCATTCAATAAAATCGGTGGTACATGGACTACAACTAGTTTTACATTATCTACAGAATTACGTAATCAGTTTGAAATTAAATCAGCGAAACGAAAACAACAAAATGATGATGCATATGTTAATTTCTATTGTCTAACAAATAAGAAAATAAATAGTTCTAATGATGCTTATGTTCAAGTCGATTTCAATCATCGATCATGTTCTAATGATAAAGTCAATACTCATGACAATCATATTCGTTTACGTTTATTTCGTTTAAGTAATCCTGTAAAAGACGAAGATACTACACAGTGGGAATCAGAAGTAAATTTTATATTTTCTGGGTGTATTATTTTTTTTTACGAATAGATAATGATGGAAGATTTGGTATATAATTATGAATAAATTTAGACAACCTGTAGATTGTATTTATCACAGGCTAGTCTGAGTTTTGAGTTCCTTTGGAAACTAGAGGACACTGAGTATTTATTCCGTATGTTATGGGGCTCTTCAGTAGTGCCTAATCCAGTGGTGCTGTAAAGTCGTTTTAGGATATCGCAAGTTGATTGCAATTGTGACTGTGCATTTGGATGAGGAATTAGTAGTTCTAACAGTGAAGCGTTCGCAGCGAGACCTAAGGGTCCTAGGTTAAATCACAAGTAATGTCGTAGGTTCGCATTACTGAGATGTCCCATGCTAGGAAGAAACAGATTCCTAGTACTCCCTGTTTTACAGTAGTACATTACCCGAAATCGATCTGTGACCAATGTAAATTGCAAATCACATCAACCTCCACGAAACGTCTTTAACTAGAACATGGATATATTTTTCACATACTTTACTGTTTCTTATTCTTCGTACACCCTACAAATTGCTGCTTTTTGTATAATTCCAACTATAATTACTTGGAACAGTCTTATATATTAGTCGTTTGAATTTTCATAATAATGTTTAGGATGGCAATTTATCAGTCTCTTTTAGCGAATTTGCATTCTGTCACCTGTTTTCAAATTGTTTGCAAATATTTCATCACATTTTTCTGTTTTCGGATTGTTATCCTAACTGACCTAGTATTTGAAAGAACGATGATTTGGCTGTAAGAAATAAGCAGCACTATTATCTGGACTGCACAGAACTAAGTCTTTATTTATAAGCAAAGATGGATAGCGGCTAGCAGTGGAATCCAGGACGCGCGTTTCGTCCTGTTTGGGACTCGTCAGCTGAATGTACCTGCACCTCAGAGTTGATGTTCATTCTGGGACTCGAACTCAGTACCGTTCGCTTCAAACGCCATCACGTTATCCACTTAGCTACTGAGTCCTGGACTCCACTGCTAGCCACTATCCATCTTTGCTTATAATGCTTGTGAATTAAGGCAATATCGAGGCATACGCACAGTATGCACATATGCCAATAAGAGACTGATCAATTTCAGTCCTAAAACATCAATGGGAATATTCAAGTAAAATAATATCAAGTGAATTAAGTCTTTGTTTCTCAGAAGATAGTAGTCGAGACTTATGTTTTCTTGAGACAATGGGTTTTTTTGTTGGTTCAATATGTATTTAATCTACTTCTAACATACTCAAACGCCTTTTGTAAGAAGCTCACCAAATATCATCATGAAAGCAATTATTGCTTAATTCAAGCTGAACCATCACAGTTGTTGATATATTTCCATCCTTTTATATTGTTTAAGTAGACGATAGACGATTTCATTCAAATTCGTGCATCAATTATGTTATAGAACAAAGACACCATAGTAGATTAATAAAAACGTACGCATAATGGTGAATGTCAGCGAATCAGTGTTGAGAAATATTTTTTTCGCATACAGATTTTGAATGATAAGTTAAACGTATAATAAATGGAAATTTTCTTCACAATAATGCATATCTATTCTGTGAATTCCCGACTGTAGTGGAATACATAATACTTAATAAGGGGATTAGGTGAGACCAGTAATCCTTAAGTCTTAACGAATTTGATTTGAGTAATGTGGATGAAATGTAATATTACAATCTACAATACTTTGATTTATATTGAAAAGACGTTTAGAGATTATTAAATTAATAAATGAAATACGCTGATCAATTCCTAGTGTCCAAAGTGACCAAACGATAACTGCCCACAAGACCGAATTGTTGGTACAAGCCCACACTTGCAACTAAACTGATATCAGAAGACAAGATAGCTGCCCAGTTGAATAGGCTTTTATTTTCTAACAAAACAACTCGCTTTTACATAAAATAATAAAGACAATGAAAACCATTAGAAATCAGTTAACAAATAAACAATTGTAGATCACTCATTATCTAATGGAATCAATGACTAATTATCAGGTTTAGTTCTTGCCCATCATATCATGATTGTTATAAATACAAAATATCATCATTTTATGGGAGTTATTTTTTGCATGACAACCTTCGACATCATTTAATGAGCCATAGAAAACCAAATAGTACTTACATTTATTTAAATAGTAATAATAAGTATATCCATGTTTATACTATTTCGAAAGCTGTTTTTTTCTCTTCAATTAATTTTTTAGTTGATTGGTGTGAATTTTGTCAATCCAGATGAAATTCGTTCAATTATCTTATCGAATGTACATTTGAATTCATCTAATCCTACAACTCCCTTATATATTCATCTATGTTCTGGACAAAAAGTGAAAACTAATAATTCAAATGTGATTGGTCGTTTAGAATTTGAAGTAGAACCAATTTGGAATACCGATGCTACATCGAGAAATCAAATGAATATCAACATGTTGAAAAAAGGTAACAGAAGTCACTTATCATAGTTTATATCATGTAATGATATTAGTTAAGGAACCATTGAAAACAAGTAAGCATTGAATAATTATTTCTTTCTAGTACGATGTTATTAAGCAATATTTATCTGCTTGATCACCAGTCGGGAGATCGTGTTACATATATTCATGCATATCAATGTTTAATACAAGGCTTCAAATTCATACTTCGGTCATTACTACTGACCTATTTCTAGTCGCATTGTCAGTATCAATTCAATAGGCTACATGAATTTGTTTGACTGTCAAATGCACTATGCTTTTTATTCGTCTCGGACAAACATTGAGATACTTCGATTCACCTAAAGATCTTAACACGGACTAACATTTATCATTCCCCATCCTAGCCGCTACAACTAATCTAAATGAGTAGTCTTACAATCAGAAATCAGATAGTGTTGAGCAAGCCAAGTAGCTTTTGAGTATTAACAAGTTTTCTTACAATATCTTTAAAAGTAGAACAATACATTATCACTTGTATTAGTTGTTTAAATCTTATCACTGATTCTTAGAACTAGAATTTGTTAGTCTCTTTTGATGTATGTGCATCCAGCTCGGATTGTCTCGATATTGCCACTAGTCACAAGCAGTGAAATCCAGGAATGGTGTTTCGTCCAATTCGGGGTTTGTCAGCTGGGTGGACCTGCCTTTCAGAGTTCATGTTCATACCAGGACCCGAATACAGTACAGTGCTTTTCAAACGTCATCGCGTTATCTACTTAGCTACTAAGACCAGATAGCCGCCGACGTGTGCAAAGGGGTGAATGTTACCATCAATAAAAATGATCAAACAACTTTAACTCTGGCACGTGGTTACAAATAGCTGACGAGCCTCAAACAGAACCTAACTGGATTTCATTGCTAGCCACCTTCCATCACTGGTTATAATGGATTATCACATTTAAACAATTGTCAAGCAAATTAATTGAGTAAATCCACTTTTAACCGAAGAGAAATCCAATAACATACAACTTTCATAAAGATATTTTATGGACAATGAAAAAAATTGGATCTTCAAAGAAAAGGAAATGTAACAAAATAGTGAAATATAAAAACAGATGATAACCAACAGTCTCTTAAAACTCAGCTTTCTGACCGTTTAACTAGAGAGAAGAAATGATCGGTGTCTGCTACAGTATTAATTATTAAACCTAAGTACTGCAATGCGTTAATATCGAACACCGATATCTATTGTTTTCTGAAGTATCAGGTTGATTGTTGTACTACACAAGGTTGGACGTTTGATCAAGTCACTTGATAACAGAATCCACTAGTTACGAATTCGTTTATGAATATAGGATCAATGTCCTAATTTTCAACGAATAACACATTGACTACAGATAGAGACTAGATTGTGTTGATGGAAATCAGTTTATCTATTGCCGAATAGGTAGGTATTCAGAGAATGTAGACACTAAACTGATGCATGTTGTATTATTGAGACTGTAAATTTAAATGACTACAACACAACATACCTAAGGATTGCTAATTTGTATACAGTCTAGTTGTGTGTTATATAAATCGTAGCTACATGTGAACAGTTAAATGCCTGCAATGACGGAATAGTTAGACGTACATCAACAGATAATAAAGTAAACAAAATATTGTTATTTAGACAATGTAATAATACCTTAAACCATATGTTTAATAGGTATCAATACCCTTTCTATATTTTCCCTTTTATCTCATAAATAGATTACTGTATTGGATTTACATCAATATATTTGATATTTATAATTTCAGTCGATATTTCTTTAAGGGTTATTATAAATTATAAAATAACCATGTAAAGTCATTTTAAGGGGGAATTTTTACTATCACTAAGTATTCTAGTTTGTAATAAGCTTGAAACTGTGTTTGGTTTAACTTCAGGGTAAAAATTTTAATATTTGATTTATATAATACTTTTTCTGTTGTTATTTTTATTTAAAATCTTCAATTTTCAAATACATCATAATATGTGTTAAATTTTGTTTGTTTTAATTTAGACAATGAATATTTGGGGTCATTTCAAAAGTCTATGAAAAATGATGAATTTCATCCAGTTCAAAATTCAATGGTATGTTTTTTTTAAAATTGAAGGATCGAATTTCTATAAGTGTTTTGTTACTTCTTTAATATTATTACTTTCTATAACAGTAACATTTATCTTTAATGTAAAATACAACATGTTAATTGGTGAGTATTGGTTTACTATGTTTGAAAAGATTACGAGTTCACCTAATTTGAGAACGGAACGAAGACTCTGTGATACATTGACAGATAAGCTAGCTATTCTGATGCATTTCAGTCCCGCTTACTTAAAGAGAAAAGTCCAAATTCGAAACGGGGAAATATATTCCGCAAGCAGCCAGAAACATGAGCAACAATAACAGGTACAAAACAAACGTATATATACAGCATACAATTGTCCTTGTGAAGCGTTACAAAATAACAAACTAAACGATACAACGAACCAATAGCATTTAAGATCCTCCCAAGTGGGGATTTCGACATGAAGGTATAAATGAGTGTTTTCGGCACGAAAACAAGAAATTCAAATTTTTAAAATAGAATTACAAAAATAAGATATTTACTGAGTGAGTTCTACGGATCTAACATCCCCAACATCGTTATGATGTCGAGATAACTGATTTGTAGTTTATTAAAATGATTGAGATTATCGAACATAAGTGAATGTTAAGTTGTAATGGTAAAGAATTCAAAAGATGAACACACATTGGTCAATTTACAAAACATTTATTTTAATAAACCAATCAGTCATTTACTTAAAAAAAATACTTTAATAATATAAGATTAATGGTTTCTTACTAAATAACTACTTCAGGATACAAAAGAAATTCATAAAACGACAGTAGAGAAAAGTAAGTTGTAAACTTTTTTAGGGATTCATGGCGCAACTCATGAACTGAATTTAGCCAACTATTAGACAACTGTTTCATCGGAGTATAAAACTCCTAGGCTATCATGGTTCCTAAAGAGATGAAGATCAGGAATTAAACTCATGGACTCCCATCCTTTTTATTTTTCCCAAAAATTACACATCTGCTTAGTTTGATGTAATCCTCGTCTCTTTTTCTCATTATGGGAATCAGGCTAATAATGTAGTTGCTATACGACCACCATTCACGAAATGTGTTTTTTCCAGTTAAGCATAGTTAGTTTTAAATTAAAATAATGATTTTAGATGTAAATTGAATGACTAGACGTCTATATCAGATAAAAAATAGAATACATTTATGATCGATTGTTACACAGACCCGAACCCTTATTAATAAGTGTAGCTGAACTCCTAGTATCTAAATTTAATCTTTCTCCGTTTACTATGGTAAATAATGTAGTATGTAAAGGTTTATTAATTATCATCAGAATTATTTACACATTGTAATTTGACTGCCTTTTGTTGTTAATTCTTTTTATCTTTCTCAAAATCAATAACAGCATCATTATTTGATATGGACATGGAAGGTAACAATGATGATAATCAAAACAACATGATAGGTACTATGGAAAATCACTAATTTTATTGTTGTGTAGGCAGACCTCTTATTAGTTATCTAAAATAATCGCTTAAATTGATAGGATAAGGGAGAGGGTGTTGAAAATTTCAACATCTTAAGAAAGCAACCCGTAGGTGACATGATACTCGAACTCTGCATCAGTGTCCACCAACAATCAAACAGATTGATAAACCGAACCAGTGTTGATGTATCAAATATATGTACTAACATGTCAACTGAAGTAAGGGAGAAACTAATAATGAGATACACCACAGGAGAAAGTTAGTTGTGGGCTTATGTAAGGTTTGTTTACATTTCTTTATGCGAGTCGAAAGTACAATCACTTATTGACCTATGATTTGTGTACATCATAAATCAGTTTGTCCATTTATATTCCTACTCAATCCAGTCTTCGCATTCGCATAGTAGATTTTATGTAATCAAAAAGAGGTATATGATAGCTGAATTGGATCACAAGAAACACCTCGCGTCCTCGCTATGATAAGTAGCATTCTTGAGTGGAGTCCTACGTATGATCGGGGACGTATATAGTCGCGGAGACCCACTACTGTCCTCTGGTTTTCAAAAGTTCTTCAGTTAATTGTAGTTGTTATTCGCGCAGAAAAACTTGACTTTGTATATTGAAGGTATATGTCTTTCGTTTTTTTTCCAGTAGAATTCAGTGTCAGATAAAGCTTTTTGTTTTGTTTTTCATGCCGACTTTATCATGTTTGATTCATTAAAACATTATACGAATGTGCTCATTGTTTTAATACTTCTGATTACATGTTATTTTTCAACACTTTTAAAGTATCATAAACCAGATGTTACGAAAGCAATAGTTTCGTCAAATACTGTCATATTAAATACAATTCTACATATATCCGAAGGTAAAGAATTAAAACTTTCAAATAATTATCATAATAAACATTTATTAACATCAAAATATATCACGAAATTGCCGAATGATTGTATTATGATTGAACATTCTTATTTAATTGTACGCTTACCTTGGTGTCACCAAATTCACTCATCATCCGATTTGTCGACGATTAACTTAGATCAATATCATTCAAATGTTGCCTGGTTAAGTGGATCATGTCCACAATATGCATTCACCATTAGATCACAATGTTTATTAAATCAGGTAAGTATGTGGTTTCTTTTTTCACCATGTACTAACCAGTGACCAATTTCAAGAGAGTATTCCCGAAGTTACATTCAGAAACTGTGATTAGTGGAGTTCTTGTATGTTAGGTATGAGGAAGTCACCCACCAGTAGCATTGAAAGACGATTGTACAGTATAAGAAAATTGATTGAAGTTAGATTTGTAAAACATTGGATGCTGGCTCAGTGGTCTAAAAATTAAGCGTTCATAGAGAAACGTAAAGCACCTGAGTTGAACACAGGGACAAAATAGCTAATTAGTACTTCTTGGTTTTTAATGATTGACTAGTTAATATCCGTTCATGTTGTGAACCGAAGAATAAGGTGAATCGATAAATGTTTCCGTTCAATTATTTAGGTATGGTCAAGAACACTATGTATGATTTACTCGTATTTGTTTGGCAGAATTGTAGACAAAGATAGGAAGCTATATTTTACACGGATGAGAGGAAGAATGACTTAATGCAACTCATAAATGTTTATTCAATAATTTGTTCGACGTTGTAGCGAATGAGAACATAGGTGAGGACAACCAAACTATATTCAACACAACATTACAGAGTTACTTGGTAAAATAGAAAAACCATACTATAATACCTAATTTGCAAAATGTTCAATAATTGTCTCGGGCTTTATTGTTCTTGCATTTCTATACTAATTGCTTTCTATTCCCGTTCTTCCTTTCTTGATCTTCCCAATCTTCTGCTGCCAGACATTACATTCCTGACTCGCGTTATATACTACTTATGTCAAAATAAGTAGCATGCACCATAGACGTAACTAGGTTTATGATGATTAACCCACAAAATAAAACAATACACCTACTTAAAGAGAATAATCTTAACACATTGGGTAATAAAATATTTTTACTGTCATTTTGTTCGTTTCCCTTCTAAATTTCTTCGGAAACATAATAATGGACTTTGGAATGAACGAGAGAAGAATTGACGATATTCTACAAAGATAGTGAAAATACCTTGATATCTGTTTCTCACAATATTTTGAGGGGACTGTTTAGATTATTAGTTTTTAAAATTCTGTCAATACTCAAAAGTGACTGCCAAATATTACTTAATAATAGTGATAGTTATTCCAGGTATTTGTACATTAAATGACTGACAAACAGTACTTTGCTATATACTTGGACATTTCGTTTATTGAAGCAATTCGTATAATAATAAATAAACAAGATAAAATGAAAATCATAAACACCAATGTTGTTTTCTGCAGTTCTATAACTGACTATGAAAACAAGAAGACTGAAACGAATCGGAAGGTTTAACTACCGAATCGAATTATATTGTGCATAAGTCAATGGCATGTATCAGATTATTCTTCTGACCCAAACAAAGATATACAGGCTGAGATCTTGAGTAGATGCATAATTGGCTTTCTCCAATGGCGTTCTTACTGTTTGATGATGAATTAGTATGTGTACACAGGCATGTAATATGTGTATAATCCCCTAGCCTATTATGAAACTAACAGTAGCAAATTTCAGTTATGCATTTAAAAATTCCACTTCTTATTAACTGACACTTAGCACGTATGTATGTAGTTACCGGATAATCGACTTTGCTGTAATCGTTTATTCAACGTGGATTAATATCTTGGTTGAAGTTAAATTACAACTTTTATCTATAGATTTTCAATCATCAAAACTTAATAATAATACTTTCATTAACATCGCGAACCGATCTTGGACGATCATCGAAAACCAGGAAGCACTGAACAGTTTGTGTGGTATTCCTAATAAGTGCACACTCACGACCTCAATGGTTAGTGAACACAAGACCTTCAGGTTTCGTGGTTGGTGCTTAACCTTCAAATCACTGTTCTTGGCCACAATCTTGATCTCGAACATATTACTCATTCACCAGAACCCCTCTTACTGCTCAATGATGCAAAAAAGTAACATCCTCAGAATTTCAGTCATCAGATCCTTCATTGGGCTTCAGGACATCGGAATGTGGTTGGGTTCCCATATTCGCTATGTTCGCCCCTTATTTCTCACCAATGGATACAGATGAATCCTTATCTACATTGTTGAAACAATCACTGTTTTTATGCTCAGATAGTACTTCAAAATCCCCTACTAAGTAAACTTTATGGTATAAACTAGACTAACCTGAATGTTCTAATTTTCTAAACAACCGTCGTCGCATGCCGGAAATATCTTGGGCAGTTATTCTTTTTCCATAAGTTATATACACAAAATCAGTGATAACAATAATCAGAACTTTGGAAATAATTAATGGTTGAATATTATTCTTCTGGTCAGTTGTTAAACGACAAAAGTGTGACGCAGCAACTCGTGGTTATGATCCATTGACCGCCAAGTTACCGCGAAAATCCCTTCTATCAAGTAAACAAATATATAGGACCGATATCCAAAACCAACAGGTTTTCTAAAGCATATGATACATAATTTATTGTGAGACTAACGTTCGTGTCCCTTGAGACGTTGTTGGTCGTTTACGATGACCCTTCATCCTACATACATGTTTTATACAGAATTCACTTAGTTTTCCATGAAATGGCAAAATGTTTCATCCTCATAAGCTTTTAATTGCGTGAGAAGTTGTGCTTCAGTCGGGAATCTCACACCAACAAACATATCTGAAAATCATATCAGCCTCATTATCTGGAATATACATGGAAGGTAACAGTAATGATAGTCAAAACAATGATAGGGACAGTGGAAAATCACTGATTTTATTGTTGTGTTGGTATACATTTCATTGGTCGATTGAGATAATGGCTTTAATTGGTGGGACAAAGGTACAAATGAGTACTTTGTGTAGGGGGTGAATATGAAAAATCAATCCAGTTACTCAACCCCTTTGACGTCATTATTACTTTTAGCAAATACAGATTTTTATTTACCAGACAATGTTATTCGAACAATAATAATTCATCTATATCTTTATATTATTATATTCACTATCATGTCTGTATAAACGTGTACACTTGATCACAAGTGACAGCCTACGAACATATCTCTCTCTAGCTTAAATGTTAATCGGCCAAATATTGCTCAATGAATCATTCTCTTTCGCATTTATATGTGTTTTCGAATGCTATTAATATCGTTTGCCTTGCCTCGCTGCACCTTCACTCCATTTAACTATAAATTCACTTTTGTATTTGCTCACTCATACACGTTAGCCTCTCTGCTCCAAATTCGCTTGATGTGCTTTTAACTATGTTATCTGTGTTATCTGATAGTCACCGCTTCTTATTGCCATCTGAATTCTTACGCCGTTGAGATTTATGCAATATAGGTTATCAAGGTGATTGATTAACGAAGCTAAACTACAAGTCATAGTGAAACTGCAATGCAGCAAATTTTCGTTTTCATCTGTTCTATTATTCAACTAGCTGAAATAAATCTTCTGTATATTGAAATAATGATCAATTATTGTATGGTATTTAATAACAATAAAATTATCATTGAATATGTTTACTGAATTTCATTTAGTTTATCTATTTAATGTTAGGTGTAATCAACGAGTTCCATATTCTATTATGGATAAAACCAGTAATCCATGGAGTCTACACTTAAATTCAATACCCTGCCAAAACTGTACTTACTTCAATAAAATCCCAACAAAACCATTTTCTGATAGTTGAATTCATGAGCTAAGCTAGACCACCATGTAAAAACTGGAAGTACTAGATGGTCGTTTCGTCCTATTATGGGACTCCTCGGCAGTGCGCATCCATGATTCCTCACATGGGATTCAAGCCCAGGACCTTTGGTCTCTCATGCGAACGCGCAACCTCTACACCACTGAGCTAGCATCCAACGGCGTTAATTTCTGACTTCAATCGATCCATGATCATGCACAACCTTTCACCCATTGTCTGAAGTGAATAACTGTCTTCATCCAACACGGATTGGACCCTACTTTTCTCCATTTTTCCTTAGTGTAATTAGTTTCTTTTCTAAACTTTGATCGAACAAATAATAAGTTCAATTAATTAAGTTATAATGAATAAGGACTAATAATTGTAAATAAAGATGAGAAAAAAGTCCATAAAATATGAAACGAGTAGTAATTTGTCACGTCATTCTGGGCCGTAAAATGACTTAAAGATTGCCAGGGCAGATTCAAGGTTACGATGAATTGATTCTGTACACATAAAGGGAGTTTTAATTTGGCAATAGGCTCGAGTTCTTTCAACCTAAGAACTCGTCATTGACCATTTCTATACAACGTTTTGAAAATTATGTTGATGTCAATTATGTAACCTGTTTCAGGTATATGTTTTGCTGTCGATGAACATGGCCTATTATTTGCTACATTTACGGCAGCGTTTGACACTAATTGATTCAGAAATCATCTCGACACATGTTCCATAACTCCTGATTGCATTATTATTTTTTTATTATTAGCTTTATCAAATATTATATTTTTGGTACAATATGAAATTCTCAGCACAAAGTATCTCAGCGAGTTTCCGTCTCTTATTTATTGATCGATGTTGGTCGCCAGTTAGATACCAGCATTTCAGAAGTCGACATCTGAATAATATTCATTCTTTTCAATGCATATTGACAGCCATCACAATGTCTCCAATTGTACGTTTTTATAATTTGCACTGTGAAAGGTCGCAGACTTTTTAAAAGCGCACCTGAATAGGTTATGCAATTAATTGTCATAATGATCTGTTAAAACAAACAAGGAAACAGATAATTTGTTGAAATATCTAAATGGCAGGAACAGGTAGTCCAGATATTCAAACAGGCCGTCTTATTTTCTTACTCTCTCCTTGCTTTAATTATGAGTTAGTCATCATACCATTGAAGCTGAAAGTTAATTAAAAACCGAATAAAATTATGCTGATTTTCGTCTTAGAAAGAAAGAAATGTTCTACTTTCAATCGATTGTACCTTTCGTCAATTTTTTTACATCCTCATCCATAAAATAATAACGAACAATTATATTCATTGTAACGATATTGAAGGAGATTAAGCAGAGTTGTGCGAATGAAATTTTCTTTTAGACGATTTTATTTATTTATGCTGTACAATCGTTCTTAAAGTTCATTTTATGTGCTGAAATCGTAGTTTATAGTACAATAGAATGGTGCTGAGTAATGTTATTATTGAATTAGTTTGGCATACCTGTTTAAAGTGCAACGTGGAACTAGCTCTTTTAATGAATGAGCAGATGAATATCGAATTTATTAACTTACATTTGAATCAATAGAGAAAAGAAAACTTCGGTTTATTATTTTAATTCGTGGATACTCAATCACGTCAAACATGGAGTCATCTAAATAAATCAGTTTTTCAGCCAAGAATTAAAAGAATATTTTGACAATAGAAGCAATCATGTCTAGCAAATAACATTTTTAGTAGAGCATTTTGAACAGTTCTAAGTATACTTATAGCTACATTTTAAAAATCAGATTAAACCTTTGAAGAAAGTGATTCTGTACCTCAAGATGAGTTCTACTGAAAAATCTTAGTTTGAATGAGCAGGCGTGTTAATCTAAGAAAACTGACACGTTTCAGCAATGAAATATCTTAGAAAAAGAGATGAATGACATCTACACATTTAAGTGTGATTAATTTTGGTTTCTGATTTCACCAGACATAAATACACTCAATCAGCAAGTCTTAATTAAGAACTGTTCGTATTAGATTCAATTGGTAGTTATCTCTTTTCAATTTCATCTTAAGTTTTTATTTCAAAATATTTATTGGGGAAATTATTCAGTAATATATTCGTGTTATATGTTATCACTATCTCATTTTTACATATCTATTTCAATTGATTTTTAATTATAGAAATCAGTTACTCGTTTGGTCAAATCATCTATTGTTTTAGAGGTGTGGTCTAAATGGATGAGTGGTTTACCGGATCATTTAATTGGACTTGTGAAAATTCCAACAGATCAACTGGTTAAACTTTATGCTCATTACGATTTGATTACATCACAAATATGGTGGCATTCAAATAATGTGATACAAAGTTTATTGAAGGCACAAGTGAGTAATTGATTTAATTGAAGCAATTTTATTTAGTTATTTGGTGATAAAAACTATTCTGAAGTCCAACTGAACTTGACAAACCCTCTTATGTATACCGGTGTATAGACCGACTGGCTTCAAGTTAAATCATCCAAGTAATACCCTTAGTAAGAGGAAATAGCTTGTGGAGTTACTCACATCGATATTGCGAGAAATACATCATAATTAGTATTAAATGATTTTGCTACGTTGCAAGCCAGTTAAAGTTTCTAAATGTAAACTTCTGAATCACGACTCAATAATCCAATTTCATCATACTGGTCTCTGTAGACATGAAGATTTTAAGTTTGAACATATGTGTGAGGTCATATTGCCTGTTATAAGCACATAGACGATTTTGAAACATGATGTTCGTACATTGAAACCAAATGAGCGATTGTGAGGTCATACCCAAGGTACTAGTTAGTGAATCTTCATTGACGGGAAGTTCATATGTTACTCGTGCTGAACTACTGCCTACCTGGATGTGCAATATTGGATGGGTGCAGTAGCAGTAGACTAGAAGCCAACTACAAGCCAGACTAAGACATGGTATCAGTTCATGAAGTCATCGGTTGTTAGATTGAAACATGTAGTTATGTGCAAACTGCGAGGTTAAAGTCTCCTTAGTTATTGTAACCATAGGTTAGAGCCGCTGTTCAGTAAGATTTATGATCAGTTTCACGCACTCTTTGTTCCCCCTAGATCCTGAGTTTTAAAGTTATCATGTACCATTTTTAACCCCATGAACTCATTTTTCTGGAATTATATTATCTATCCCTAATCATTTTTACTACCACTGATACTCTCAATAATATTTCTACTACTTTAAAATTCATCCTGATTATTTCGTGTCACTGCTCTCATGTGGCGAGACAGCTTCAACTCATTTACATGTTTGGCAGTTTTACATTGGTTATGACTGACTGATCGATATGATCATTGGTCATTAACAATATGAAAGTACGATGTAATGAACAAGAACACAGGTGAAGTGTGAAAAGCATACGTTCACTACTTCATTTGCATATACTCCATCAGTTGTTTCAATCTTCATTGTTCCTCCATTTCTAATAACAATTACTCTCTGCTCCCGTTCTCTTCGATTCGATCTTCCTAATCTTCTACTGCCAGGCATTCCATTTCTGATTGGTGTCATATACTACTTATGTCGACATAAGTAGCATACACCACAAAGTGATCAAATGAAAAACTCTTATAAAGTATAGTCTATTGATTTACTTCGTTTATTGACGGACGCTAATATTTTATGAAAAATAAAACAAGTAGCAATACGCCTATCATAATCCCTTAAGGAAATAGTACGCCTACGTGTATAGAGAAATGTTTGACTCAGTAAACCATAATCAATTAAAAATCTATTTGACAATAGATAACTAATCGAATGTGCTCATAAGTGTGACGTAATTATTTGACTAGCTAGAGCTTATTCTATGACATACCTAACAAAAGATATCGAAAGAGTAATGAAATGTGATTGCTAGATACGTTTTTAAATGAGCATGATACATAGTGATAATCGTTGTTGAAATATTTCACTGGAGAATGGTTATCATCTCGTACACTAACTTACCTGATTGCCCAACTATTAAGTTACTTACGCCTGTTCCCTTTCATGGATCATAGGCTTCTAACAAGGATTCTTCAACCAACTCTCTTATAAATTCTCGGCCTAGAACCTTCTAGGGTTACTGCTGGTCACAAGCCCGGGTAAAGGTGAAGTGTTGGTCATGATGTTAGGATCCCCATCCCGTAGAAATGAACCTCGCTAAAATAAGGGCGACTAGAAAAAAATCCACCTGATTCCTAACTAACTGCAAGCGTTTGTGAATTAAATCAGTGTATTGTTTCTGTAAATGAATATAATCAAACACACTACATCAGCTGATATCAGTATAAATAGAAGACTGTTTAAATTCCAGTTGACATATTATCATGAAAAATTTCAGTACCAGTATAACTTATTACAATATAGAATTTGAGAAAACTGTTATTTTTCTGGCTTAAGACTCTTAACAATTTCATACACTGCTAGTTCTGTGTGAAATTGAATGTTGCATTATTATTAGTTATAAATACATTAATGCTAAATGTTAAACTTCGATATAGTTACTAATTGATAATAAATTCAAAACTGGTTATTTCCAGTTTGATCTCATACTTTTGCCGGTATGTTTACACTGCTCAGAAGTTTCTAAATAAGAAATAACACAATGTCCGTCAGTGCTTTCCTAAATTTTCATCAACTTTCAATTGGTTCCGATTTCGAGCACAGCGTTTCTGTACACCAGAACACATATCTGTGTCTTCTTGTTTAATGATTGTCTGTACTTTCTCGCCTGTAAATGTTTCTAATTCGGCTTTTTGAAATGTGGATTATGTTAGTCCATGACGCTCCGATTATTTCAAGTATCCTATTCAGTGTCAGTTATAATGAAATATTATGTTTGTGAATTACATAATAATTAAAACAAAAACTACGAAACACGTAGTCTGACATCTTTTTTATCTTTACTATGCATGCACACCTATTTTTTTGTACTAGCATCCGATGATTCCTGTGGAAACATGGTTGCCAATAATTGATCCATTCTCTGGTTGTGAAAATGGTCAAATTCATGTTCTACTCGCTGTTGGTACACAAGAACAAATCGATAATTTATTAACACTACAAAATTTGAAATGTACTATTGATGTCGATAATAATACCATTATGAATGCAGCAGATCAAAGTAGAAAAAGCGGTATTATTGAATGCAAAGAGATTATGAAGGATAATTTATGTGTAGATTTAACAGGTACGATAGATTCTTTTAAGAATTTAAGAGCACCAGTGTTATCGTGTTTTCTTACAATAACTTTGAAAGTAGAATGACACATCATCACATTTAAATAATTGTCAAGCAAATTAATTGAGTAAATCCACTTTTAACCGACGAGAAATCCAATAACATACAACTTTCATAAAGATATTTTATGGACAATGGAAAAAAATGGATCCTCAAAGAAAAGGAAATGTAACAAAATAGTGAAATATAAAAACAGATGATAACCAACAGTCTCTTAAAACTCCCCTTTCTGACCGTTTAACTAGAGAGAAGAAATGATCGGTGTCTGCTACAGTAATAATTATTAAACCTAAGTACTGCAATGTGTTAATATCGAACACCGATATCTGTTGTTTTCTGAAGTATCAGGTTGATTGTTGTACTACACAAGGTTGGACGTTTGATCAAGTCACTTGCTAACAGAATCCACTAGTTACGAATTCGTTTATGAATATCCGATGAATGTCCTAATTTTCAACAAATAACACATTGACTACAGATAGAGACTAGATTGTATTGATGGAAATCGGTTTATCTATTGCCGAATAGGTAGGTATTCAGAGAATGTAGACACTAAACTGATGCATGTTGTATTATTGAGACTTTAAATTTAAATGACTACAACACAACATACCTAAGGATCGCTAACTTGTATGCAGTATAGTCGTGTATTTTATAGAACGTAGCTGCATTTAATAATACAGTTATCTGCTATTTTGATTGTGACCTCTTGTAATTCGTAGAATGTAATAACAATCTTCATAGGTTCATTGAACATTTGTTCAATTACTTCATTTTCTATATTTTCTGATTCTTGTCTCCGTTTCAACTGTTTTCTACCATTTGGGTTTTGAATACACCTCCAAAATGTTTTATAAATAATATATATAAACGTTTTACAAGAAACACTTTTAATTTCATTGTATCATGAAGTGATGAACCTCAGTAGACAACCCATGAATTATACTTCATAAATATATTGCATTTATTGCTGTAATAATTGTACAACATTTTCTATAAAATCCCTTGTTTTTATTTCGGGATTTTCATATATACTCAGGTTATCTAGTCAGAAGCTTCGACATAATTGTATCATAGAATGATATATTTCCTATTTGCGACTTATCGAATCATGTTACAACAGAATATTCCGTATATTTTATTCATATTAAAAGATTTATTACAATTGTACTCAAGTAAAATATATGCTGAAAATAAATGAAACAAAGTTTGGAATGGATTATTTATTAAAAAAGAGGATGAAGGATACGAAAGTGTTAAGTCCACTAGAGAGTCAAAAGCCGAACTATTGAGTCACGTGGAAAATTCAGTATAGAAACAATGGATTTGTCGATAAAATAGTGGTGATATTAATTACATCATAAGCTACGTACTATTACAAGCCTTAATTCGTGAATTATATAAGGTATTTATATAAGTATCTTGATTAATCTCACGTAATAACGAAGAGACGGAAATGTATTAGCTCGAAAACAATCGAAAATTAGTGAATCATATAGTATAGTACAGACGATGCAACCGATTAAGAAAGAAATATTGATGAAAAGAGCAAACAGGATTAACAGGTTTCTTGGTAATTGTTGCACTCAATTATCAACCACCAAACCATAGGTTCAAACCTTTACCTCATCAATTCCGGTTTGAGTAGCTGAGCATTAAGAACCACTTCTCACATGGCTGAACGACGATTAGAATTTTTTTGGTATTTGGTGTTTTACCATACTTTTGTTTTATAAATACTATCAATCATTCTTTTTTTTAATTACACATATCTACTTACTAGTTGAACATAGAATCGGTATAACCATTGAACAGTTGATTGATTTCGATCCACACATCCCACTTCAATATGATTCAAATTATAATGGAGCTGTACCATGGGGTGATTTAGATTGTTATGTTCAATATTTTTTTCCCACTGGTAAGTTAAATAGTCATATTCATTCATCTTGATGTTACTTCGACTCCTCGTTTCTTTTTTGGAATTAAAAATTTCTTAATTATTATAGTTGCTGTAAATAGTACCGATGTCAATGAGAATATTAAGTTAAAATGATCGTGATTGAATTAAAGAATTTATGGAGATCTGTTCAGTTGAAAATTAGTTACTTTCATGAACTATATGTAAGAATCCGTTATTATATTAAATTGAAATGAATCAACGTGAACACAGATACTCAAAGTTTGACTGTTTAATCAAGAATCATATATCTGTAATGACAACTTATGTTGTTATTACGACAAAGTTGAAATAAATAATTTACAGTATAATATAATCTTACGTGACTTATAAGGATTTGTCTGTCTACTCATGCTAGAAACTCAAAGTTAACTTTTGATGAATATATTAGAACCACTAAGAATCAGAGAATGTTTCACAGTTGTTTGGTATTAGCTTACAACTACTTTTCAAATGTGCACATCTACCAGCCCTCATGGAATCGATTCCATAACTTTCAGGTTTCGTTTTGAGCACGATCTTATCGTTGACATTTAGTGAAACTTGAGGGTTACGTGCTAGTTTGTGGATGTATACTAATGAGATGTCTTATATTCTCTTAAATTGATATAAGGAAATTAAATCAACCAAATAAAACTGGATTAAATTTTGTTAAAATTTGCCTTTTTCTAGATACAAAAGCTAAATGTTTAGCTAGCACTCGCACCACTACTCAAATGCTTAATAAGCCGCCTATGATAACTAATAATACTATTCAAGAAAAAGCTGAGAAACATATCTCCTGTGAATTCATATCTGAAAATTCATTGAAAAACAAAGAAAACGCATCATCATCTACGATAAAATCGCCACCGTCTTCCTCATCGTCATATTGGAGTCACACACATAGACTGTGTACAAATTTACAAATAACTTCAGAATCACAAAATAAGATGGATTTAATCAGGCCAAAAATTGAAACGGAATTTATTCAGTGGATTTTAGATATGTTGACTCGTGCAGATTTTGAAAGTAGTGAGTTATTATTCTTGAAATATTTGTACGATTATTGTCTTTTTTTCTTTAAATTCTTACAACTATATTCTTTGCGGATAAACAGAACAATATATGTAGTGTTGGACGATAAAATTCTGAAGAAGCGAGGACTTTTATTTCACTGTTTGAGATTTTTTCAGGGAAAATGATAGAATTATGATGGAGTGTTTGAAAAGTGAAAAGTAATCTACAAGTTCTTTTGTTTAAGGTTGAAATTTTCGTAAAATCTTCATTCCTTAACTTGCATTAATTGACTAGACGAATGAAAGTTCCATCCGTTGATTGTTGTGGTCATGCACCAAGAATTAGTTAGCATATTTTAACAAGGTTGTTATCTACGGAATAGGGTTGTTGACTCCCATGCCCAAACCTTCTCCTTTACCCTAGATGAGACCGGTATTAACCCTAGAAGAGCTACAGGCGGATGCACGGAGGACAGCTGACAGATGCATTTCAAGGGAGAACCGATGTCAGACAAGACTGCTTACTCCTGCGCTTTCTCCTTCTTCTGGTGGTTGACTGGATTATGAAGATCACCTCCACATATCAGAGGAAGCACCGAATACAGTGGACGACTTGGATGCAAACAGACGATTTGGACTTCGCATATGACCTGGCACTTCTATCCTATACATACGAACAGATGCAGCTGAAGACAGCCAGCGTAGCAGCAGCCACTGCAGTAGTAGGCCTCAACATACAAAAGGGAAAAAGCCGATTCCCGAAATACAACACGGAGAACATCAACCCAATCACATTTAATGAAGAAGTTTTGGAAGAGGTCGAAACTCTCACGGACCTGGGAAGCGACATCGACTAACAAGGAGGACCTGATGCAGACATGAAGGCGATGATTGACTAAGCAAGTGCCGCATTCCTACAATTGGAGAACATATGGAACTCAAACAACTGTCAACCAACATCAAATGCATGATCTTAAGTATGAACATCAAGACTGTTCTACTGTACGGAGATAAAACTCGGAAGACTACTACAACCATCATCAAAAAGGTATGAGTATTTATGAACAGTAGTCTGACAACATCAGAAACAACCTACTATGACAGGGGACAAACCGCTACCAGCTAAAGAAGAAATTAGGAAATAACTCTGGATGTGGATAAGACAAACATTGCAGGAATCACTATACTGTACTGTGAGGCAAGTGCTAAATACACACTTTGCTGAATACATGAAATAAGCCGTTAAAACTGAAGAAATCATATATATCCAGGCCGATTATACTAGACAAATATAACATGGTCCACTACTCAGTGATCAATCCTTGATAACGTCGTGATTGTATGGAGGTCTATTTGTTATCTCGGTCAGTCAGTCAGCTACAACGTACGACCAGACACATATATGCATCGCTACAAGTTGCCATAACTCAATAACACAACAAAATGGACACCGGATTCATAAAAGTAGTTAATTCAGAGGTGGTAATATATAAAAGAAAGATTACAATAAGGATATAGTACAGGAAGAAAGAATTAGTTCGTAGAAAGAAAGATATGAAACAATTTTAATCTCTTAGTTTAAGGGAAGACAGAGAGTGTATACACCGACGCCATTGTGATCTATTCTGAGCCACGTCACCAAGAGTCTCCAACCATTGGTTACGACAGTCACGCGGACCCCAACCAGGTAGTCTGCATCTACCAACATAACTCAGATCAGAAGTTAGTGACTTCAAGCACTGATGCCACGTTTTGGTTTGGCCGCCCTTAACTTTCTTTCAACCACCCCCAACACCGGTTAGTATTGCACGTCGTGGTAGTCGGTGTTCAGGCATACGTAACACGTGACCCAACCATCTCAGTCGATGAAGATTCACAACTTCATCAACTGATTTATTTGTTATATTGATTGTATTTGATTATTAAACATGATATGGACTACTGTTCATCAAAATAAGTTCAAATTTCCGTGTATCAAATACATTAACAGTTATATGTTTCCTAAATTTTGTTTCCATTGTTAGATAAATTAAATTTGAAGCGAGGTCTATTAATTGAACTTTGGTTACGTATCTATTCACCTAATCTACATGATTGTTTAGCTGCGAAAGGATATATTCCAGAAGAATTATTGTGCAAATTAATTCGTAAAAATAAACCATTAAAATGTAGAGACGATGAAGAGGATGATCGAAACCATGAACATAATCATCAATCAATAAAATTTTGTATTGATCTGTATGATGTGAACAGTAGTAGTGGATTTTTAAATGGAAGATTACAAATTAGTATGGATTATTGGTATGTTCAGCATGAAAGTATGCATACATAGGTTATTTCGGTTTACTTTAGTGATGCTCCTTCCCATTTTATTAACTATACCGAAGTAATCACCAAACTCGCTTATCATGAGTACTTAGTCAAACTATAGCTGACATACGGTGTTGACTTCATGTGAGTATAGCGCCATTAGTAAGATGTCTGTCATGAGTAACCAGTATATCAAACAATGCTGTGGCTAGATATTTACAACCCTAAATATCACGCACCTTTCTTTCTACTAAGAATTTTTATTTATTTATTTATTTATTTATTTATTCAAACACATAAATATTGGTACAAGGAGGCACCAAAGAGATATGCGCCACATAAATTAACGGATTTTTGTGAGGAATGGGTTACTCCTCGGGTGCTCAAACCAAAGCAGATTGTTTTCTTAGAGGGCCACACCCAGAGACTTTGACCTAAAGGTCTAATCCATAAGTCGGTGGAGCAACATCAGGAGATGCAGTCCTATGATAGCCGGTGACCAACAACTGGTTCATACGCCATTTGTTTCCTTAGGATCCTGGAACCCGTGTACACAATTGGTTTGGAATCAAAGTTTTCCAACTCCCCTAGGTAGGTCCTCATACCCACCAACCACCACTTTTCATCCGCTCAAGTTCGTGAGCAATACCCTCGCCACGAGAAAGCTGTGAGTGGGACTTTCCTGACAGTGGCTGTATGCACGTGGCCATGTAAGAGCATTTCGAGTGGGAGAGCTGACTCTCCTCACTCTCGGTCGCATCAGGGCAAATGCCTTGGTAAGCCCCCAAATGCCCTAAGAATGTACTTTGGGTTTTGCCAAAGGTTTGATAAAAGTTTAGACTTTATGAATTGATTAAAAACAGTCGCTAGCACAGTGATCGTGTGTGATGAACGTCATTCAGTTATTTCTTGAGCTAGATGACTTTGAAATTAAAAAGGTCATTAGATTTTTTCATACTCTTCAACAAGAAATATACTTTCACAGTATCAACAGGTTTATTTTCTCCATGGATTGGTGTTGACCAGGTAAACAAAAAGCCCTGGATAACTGCTTCATCCACAAATAAGACTTCGAAAGACTTCTATCGAGAAGTCTGTGATTAGTGAATTTCAACCAATATCTGATGTGTTATGAACTGAATAATGTTGCACTGTTTAACGAATAAGCTTATTTAATTCCTTTGCTTTCATGTTGATTTGTTGGAAGTACCCTATAAGAAGCTCTGTTTAACATGTGACCAAACATATTCATGAACACTACATTTTTACATTCTTGAGGAAAATAATTGTCTCTATATAGTTCAAAATTCCGTATAAGATAGTTTTCGAACTCGGTATGTAAAAGTAAACAGAAGGTGAATGAAGCTACACCATTAAGATTGATTTTTAGCCATGTCACTCAAAGTTTCCAGTCATGAACTATGATATCTAAGAAGACTTCAATGTGGTAGTCTTTATCTACCAAAACAGACTGATACTACGTGTTGATTTGGAGGCTCCTAGTTTTCTATCATCTTCCTTCTACTACATCCAACATCGGCAGTGGCTTTGACATATATTATATACGTCCTAATCACAGTCGGTAAAAATTGATTAAGTTATTGATTGACTTGTCATCCTAAGCTTGTATTCTGAGTCTAACCTCAGATTAGTCCACTCGGTGGTTTCAACATACCACAAAAAGTACTTCGAAGTCACCCATGATAAAATACTAGGAATCTACGAGTGTCCTCTACTTTCAAGGTCAACCACCAAATAAAACTAAACACACTTCTGTGCAATATACTAATCCTTTGGTTGAGAGACAGATCTCGCCTATACCACATGTGACGCAAGTCAGCAAAATACAATCAGGCTTTCTAGACCCGTGCCAAGACCTCATGAGACATCAACCCAACTGAGCATATAAGACTTCTAGATGGTCAATGCACTCAATTACTTCATTAACTTATAAACACTGTAGATAATGAATTAAACCAAAAGCGAAATGTCTCATTAAGAGGAAGAGAAACTCATCCTAAATATGCTTACATTGTTGCACATGACCGATATGAATCCACTTGAACAACTGTATAAAATTATCTATTATTATCAGAAGGGGTTTGTGGAGATTTTAGAAATTTCACAGATTGAAATCATGAGTCAGTTGAAGCTAGATCACCATAGAAAACCTGGAAGCACTGGACGGGCGTTTCGTCCTAGTATGAGACTCCCCGCACCCCGCGGGGTGCGGGATCGTGGGTGCGCACTGCTGAGGAGTCCCATACTATGACGAAACGGCCGTCCAGTGCTTCCAGGTTTTCCATGGTGGTCTAGCTTCAACTGACTCATGATATCTATTATTAGTATTACTAGTAAACCTTTATATATATCTACATATTTTTTTTTTCAGTTATAACATCACCAATCATTGTTCTATAAAATTTGATAACACATTAACCAAGTCATTAACAACACAACCAACAAATCTGCTTAACAAACAATCTATTCTAATTTCAACTTCATCAAATCAACCAATTCATAATTCAATATTAATTCTACCAAGTCAAACACAGTTTAATCATCGTATTCAAATATGTTTAGATGGAATAAGTGGAATAAATTTATCAACAATGAAGCCTTTTAATGAAATATCTTATTCATCGAATAGAACAATTCATGCACGTTTACATTGTTTATTATTAATACCAAATGATAAAAGATATTCTCATTCAATAATTAATGAATTATATCATGGTTATTTAATTAAATCTGTTATTAGTTCACCAATATATAATTCATATTATACAATGGAATTAAATTGTAAATTAGATTTACAATTACCTACTTCTTGGTTTATTGCATATCAACAATATAATTATCAACCTAATTTAATAAATAATCAAAATAATAATAATAATTCAATGAATAATTATGAAATTACTTTATTAGAAGCAATTTTAAATGGTGATCAATATCAAATGGAACAATATATAAGACCAATAACCAAACCATGTATTATGATACAAGTTGATATATGGTTACAGAATAATATTACAGAAAAATTAAATGAATTTACTCATAAAAATATAAAATATTGGGGTAAGATTATTTAAAATTGAAACATGGTTATCATTTTATTCTTTTACAACTACATTGAAATCACAAATTATAATTCAACTTGAGTAGATGAAATATGTAGTAAAATCTTTGGAATAGTATATCAAAGGTTTCAGTGTAGTTGGCAAAGATGATGTATTCATCAACAATCAAAATGGGATATATAGTTTTTGCCCCCAAATGCCCTGGTATGACCGAGAGTGAGGTGGGCCCACCCTCCCTCTCGAAATACTCTCACACGGCCATGCGTATACAGCCTCTGCCAGGGAAGTCCTACTCACTGCCTTCTCGTGGCATTACTGTTTTTTACGAAAATGAGAGGACGAAAAGCGAATGTCCGACGCTTTAACCGGATCCCAAACCAATGGTGCACATCGGCTCCAGTATCCTGCGGGAACAAATGGCATATGAACCAATCGTTGGTCACCGGCTACCATGTGTCTGAATCTCCTCACGATGCTCCATTGCCTTGTGGGTAAGACCTGTAGGTCAAATTCTCTGGGTTTGGCCCTCTAAGAAAACAATCTGCTTCGCTCTAAGCACCCGAGCAGTATCCCAGCCGTCACACAAATCGATTGATTTATGTGGCGCATATCTCTTTGGTGCTTCCTTGTGCCAATATTTATGTGTTTAAATAAATAAATATATAGTTTACTAAGATGAAAAAAAATAAACATGTATAGCTCTGAAGCAACTTTCAGGTATAATGGAACTTTCAAATGAATGGTTCTGAAATTATATATAGAGTTTTAGATAAACAAAATAGTAGGTTGATTGATTATTGAACTGGAAAATCAGATCATTTTTGGTCATCTTGCTTTGCTTTCTTGATTAACTAGCTAAGAAGATATTTATGAGACTGAACCAACCTTTATTTAATGTGCTCTGATCATTTAAGTAGAATTAAGATAGAAAACGTCCTGGAGCTGAAAGTTAAACTATGATATCATGACACATAATCACTAAGCCTTATAAACATTTGTGGAGTTCATAAAATGTTAATAAACATCGGATGTATCAAGCGAATATAGCCCCTGAATCGAAAAGCATTCAATTATCATTATCATCCTGTGGATTTTAGGCATTTAGTACTCTTTATTTATTCGTTACTTTGTCTCATACAGCTTTTTCTTGATTATATTGGTATTTCTGTGACTATTAGTGGATCCTTGTATGACATTATCATGTACTGTTGAGTTTGTTCACGTTTGCTGTTCTTATTCTCTTGTCAACTCTTTTTGTGTATTGTTTTATACTACTTATCATTATTCAGTAAATAGTTGCATCTCTATCAATTTCTACGCGTATGTTGTGGCGCAACTTTGTGTTATATTCTCACTTATTTACATATACTTATGACATTTATTGTATTTACCATTATATTTACTTTCTCTCAATCCCTGCAACAGTTATTATCAGTTCATTTATTCTCTATTTAACCGAAACTATATTTATATTTGCTTCCTTTTGATTCCGTTTTGCTTGTTGATAAACTGTTATCATGATTAGACACAGATGTCATTCGCATTATCATATGTCAAAATTATTCTTCATGTTGTTATTACAGGAAGTCTTTTTTCATACTCATACATTCTCTAAGCGCTACAGATACCTCACGAGTTGATGTTTGTAACTAATTTATATCTATTACTCAATAAAGAACCGCTTTTTAGATAAATAAATGTTTTATGAAATTCGGCTTTGCCCCTATCTCAGTTGTATAGTTAGACGCTTCAATAGATTAAACATTTATTTTGTCAATCGATGTACTTTTAAATCCAGTTCTACATTATTGATGTTCATCGCTTCTTGTATTTTGTTTACATTCTCCCAATAACACTCACTGTAATTAATATCCGTCAAATTAAACTTTTGAAGAATTTTTTTGTATCGTTAAGATACTCTACCATATATATGAAACCCAGACATCTGTTATATAATCAGCCTTGTAATACTAGTTAACACATGTAGGCTTTAAGTTTGATGCCGTATAAGACATTGAGTAAACACTTGTAAAGTTTTACAAATTATTAAAAAATAAACTGTTCAGGTGACACCAATTCCTAGTAAAAACTTTCAAAAAATTAGACCTTCTCCGTAATCCTCATCTACCCCAAACAAAGTATCTTATTATTGGTAGATGTTTTTTTTCAAAAATATATTGTATGATTAGGTGCCTATCGGTATTACTTCAGCTAAATGAACATCTATATTCTTTGATATTTAAATGATCATTCAATTTTTTTCAGTCTACTTCATGTGTCAATATCTAACTGAATAGATGTAGCTTTTTGAAACTTTGTGCTTGGCCAGTCAGTCAGCAAACTAGAATATGCCTCAATCCAAGTTGCCACTATCCCATAGTACAATGAGATAAAAATATGGAGATAAATGTCATATTAATGGGAATAGTGAAACTATCAGTTGTAATAAGAAAACATTATGGATAGCCGAAATACTTTGATAGGGGAGAATGGGTATGGGAGATACAAAATATGAGATTATTCTAAAATTCGAGATTTAGGTGAAGACTATGAGGATTTACCTGCCCGTTCACATTAACTTTAAGTATTTAGTCTGCACCGAATTACATGGCTCAGTTCAACATTACTTCATGTGATATAGTTGTATAATTTCATATCGACTAATTTCATTATCGATGACCATTTGGTGTTTTCATAAACCATTGAACATGCAATATTCGTAACTACTTGAAGGTAAAATCATCTAACGTAATGACAAAAATTTGAACAGTTGAATAGCAAAATACTCAAAAAGGACATATAGACTTTTATTATTATCAGTATGGGTCGTAGAGATTGTTAGATTTCGATGAAATCACGAATTGATCTAAGTTATGCAACCATTAAAAACCTAGAAGCCCTGAACAGCTGTTTCGTCCTACTATGGCCCATCAGTTATGCACACTCACGACTATAAAGCTAGGAGTCGAACTCGGGAACTTCATTGTCTCGCGCGAACTCTTGAATTCCAAATCGTCGAGTCAGAATCCAAGGGTTTGGGAGTTTAACTTCAATCAAGCCACAACATTACCCGGTCATCTTCCACTTGTTTTCGGTGAATACGATCCTCACATCCGACACTGGTTATTATTATGGTTATCATTATTATTATGATTATTTATGATCTTGGCCTACAAAATCTTAATTTCCAGTTTAATGGTTGTTTGTTCAATTACTCTTTATGTTCAGGCTTACAATATACTAATTTTGAGCAACAGTCAAATGAAAATATCAATTCAATCATTAATCCTGGTAAAGAATATCAACTGATTAGTAGTTGTCGTGTTCCTCTATCTGCACTTATTTTCTCTTCACATGGTAATATACCATCACGTTGGTATCCATTAACATCTTTTGTTAATGATGATGACAATTCATCGATTTCTTGGCAAAGTAAATTTAGTGGAGCTATCCAACTCAGTATGCGTTTGACTGATCCACATTTGATCAAGATAGTTCCATACAATATTATTACTACTACTATTGATAATAATAGTAATAATAATAATGCAATGAATAATATACATAGTCCATCTGTAATTAATTGCTTACGTGATTGGAATATTTCATTTAATGTTGAGAAATTAGAAAATGGACAAAATTCTATTGTAGCATTTCAAAATGAATTTGAATTATGGAAAGATGGTCTAGGTAAAAAGATATTTCTTTTTTTTTTACTTTATAATGATAATAATGATTTTATTCATTTAATAAGGAATAATACCTTTTTATTATTATCTATTTTCAACTATAAAATAGTTAAGACAAGTGAAATGATTATTAGAAAATACTTTATAACTTAAATATTAATGAAACTATGTATTTATTCTAGATGAAACTCCAAAAAGCTCAGAATAGGTGCATTTAAAAAACTACTTGGAATATGTTATAACGACTCGGTTTTACTTCATCTAATGTTATAACAGTTGGGTTTCCCACGTTTACAGGTATGGGACTTTAATTTACTTAAAACGATTATCTACATTAGATTCCCTCCCAGTGTCTATTCTACAAGACTTCAACACAACTCAGATCAAGAACACATGATTAGTCTGACCACAACGTAAATACATTTTCACACCGAGAACCCGACACAATCCGACAACAATGAACAATCAATAATAAGTGAGTCGTAATAATAATAGTATTAAGGATAGGGGAATATATAACTTATCTGACACGTGTGAGACTATCTACATGTCTGACTAAGTAGATAACCAATCATTATCATTCTCGCCCACACATCAAAGTACAAGATGATAAATAATTGGAAAACAATCTTCAATTGTGACATCTTTTTATATTCAGGGAATTCACTTAATGCCCAAACCAGAATTCAAAGCGGTTTTCCGAAAAAATCGATATGGGTTGATCAATGACTATATCCAATAGTTAAAACAAAACAATTGTATAATAACAGAGTTATCTTTATATTAATCTCATAATATCAACCTAAAGGGAACCAACTGCATAAAGTAATTAAAACTTATAAAAATACCTAAGCAAGTTCGTTGGCTTCTAACTCTACATAACACTAGAAACAAAGTATAATGAATTCCTCAATTACTACTTAGCTTCATGGTTCAACATTTAGCACCAGTCAATTGATCAGTAAGAAATAATTGCATAATATAATGTATATTATGCATGTTTGATTTAATTTGCTTCCTATGCAATTTGACCAAATATACCCTATATGTATGTATGGTTTTTGTGCAAGGAATGAATAGATTAGATGTCAGTATTTTAGGCAATTGACTGATGAGGCTATGTTTTTATTTTCAATAGTTTATTCTATTGTTAATAAATTAATTAGTGCAAATCATTCAATCATTTGTCAATTAGTACTATTGAGGTTCTGTTCAAAGTGTTGAATTTTTTTAAGTTTATACCACGAACTGACCTGAAAACCAGGAAGTACTGTGTGGTTATTTCGTCAAACCTTTAGACCACCGAGCCGTTATCCAAATGTTTACATATCTAAATTCTATCTTTTCGCAATATCATTCAGTTATCTTCTAATTCATTTGGTGAGTAACTGACTCACGCCTGATGTGATTGGACTCCACTAGTCACGGTTCCTCACTAGAGCTCCGGAAATCACCTCTCGAAGTCGGTTATTAGTAAGGCCACGATTGCCACTGTATTTTGACTAGGAATTTATATCAGTTAGAAGAAATGCAATCTGTTTATATTCCTGAGGTTTATTGGAATTTAAAATGAGTACAGTAATAGTGAGGCAGTTCATATTTGTTGTTTATTTATTTATTCTACTCAAAAATATCTATTCTTTATTGTATTTCATTACTACATTTGTTCACATCAAGTTATTTGTTTTTCCCTCTATAGATGAATATGGCTGTCAATATAAACATTTCACAATATATCTTAATTTTGCATGTCTTCCAAAAATCAAACAATTATTAAACGATAATCTTAATTTCATTAATCCATTACATAGAAATTATACTATCGAAAATAATTTCAAAGCCTATACATTTGTTCGTTTTCAATTTCCAAATTATGGTACACAAATGTCTCAGTTAATTTTCCTGCCAAATGATGATGATCATGCATCAGATAGACAATCTAATATTGTTGAGGTAAGTATTAAGAGTAAACTATTAAAAACCAACGATTCATAGGTAATGTGTGAATTTCATATTATTGACAAAGATGATTGATCAATTATGAAAGCGATCTCGAATGTCCTTGGAGGTATGCTGATGGTTACAACATCCAAGTAACCCATACTGTGGACGATCGCTTCTTCTTAAGACACTCGAAAGTTAAATTAGATTTGTAATGGTCTTTTTGCGCTGCTCCCCAATGCACAGCGGACAACTGCTTGCGTCCGATCAAATATGACCCCATGAATAACGTTTGATGTGTCTCGTTTCCTACTTAAAAAGGATTTGTCGTTGGCAATGGAAACATGTAAGGGTATACAAGATTTGCAACCTTTACAAACCCTTTGCTGTCCATTGTAAGATGTTAGCGACTTTGTAGACTCTATTTGTCTGAGGCAATCATTTTACTACCATCAGACGTCACTGCATTTAGTGGTAAGATTTTGTCTTCGGACCTTAGGTAGCTGCTTCTAGCTTTACCTCTCGCCAACGGATCTACTTGGCATGATAGGGCCTAAAAGGGTAAATACTTCGGCCAATATAGATCGATCGGGTTACTACAATAGGCAGTTCCGACTATCATATAAAGGTAGCAGCTACATTCGGGAATGTCAACTGACGAAACTCAATGACTGAGGACAAGTTTCATGTACTATTCGTTAAATAATACATTTTATGTATGACATGTAACAATACAACACTGTTCATCTATGCAAACAGAGAATAGAGGAAGTGGCGTTTGAACCAGCGATCAAATTGACTTGATTATCATTTTTCATGAGATAATTATCCGTCTTGTCAACCTTTTCGTTCCATTATTTTGTTAATCAGTTGAGCTTTCATGACTAAACAAAAATTAGAATTCAATAAGTCTTATTTAATCTATTTGGTGCGACTCAGATTTTTGACCATTTTCATCCCTCACTTATAACAAATTTATAACAAACTACTTCAGTGATGTCTGTTATGAATGGTAGAAGTTTTCTTCCCCTTGAATACAACGTATACATACTATTTTTGACAGGGAGTATACACTACTAAGTAGCTTTTAACATGTAATGTGGTTGAAGTCAGAAATAAACCTGAACCTAAATTTAGTAGTCGTTGGCACTTATTAGCACTATGTATTTGCAATTTTTGGGCAGCTGATTCAGGTCCGCATCATCTGATGTTACAGTTACAAATGTTGACACCGGCCTGTATGTGAATCGAGATAATTAAACGTTGAAATGACTCAGTCGAATAATAATTATTTTAGATTTTAGAGTTATGTAGTTTGTGGACATCTGTTTGATTTTAAGATAGTTTTTATTAAGTATAGACCCCTTTGAAAAATAGTCCAAGGTTCGTTGCTATGTACGGTCCTAAACTAAAATGAAAGAACTGTCCAATGTCCCGTGGTCTTCAGTTGATGTCTAAAACGAAAGTGCTCTTTGCAAAGCCTGAATATATTCTAGGTTCATTTTATAGTGTAATCGTGGATGCTCACTGCCGAAGAGTTCCACACTAGGACAAAATAACCGCTGTTTGTCACTGGTTTTTAACCAAAATTGGGCTATGATATGAATACTATAAATTCTGTCGCCAATGTATACTTCCTTCAAACGTTTTTCTTAATTCATTAGTTCTTTACCTGGTACTGAACAGTCATGCGATATTTTCATAAAATCATTTATTCAATTCTGTTTACTTCTTTTTTTTATTCCTTTTATCAGTTCAAAGAATATAAAGAATTTGTTATTCCAGTCAGTACAGAATTACGAAATTTCTTGGCCGAATCTACACTTGAATTTCAAGTGTGGATTATTTGGACAGATGATGAAAATTTAAAAGAATTAGACAAGAATGATGATAAATACGAAACTGGACTACAAAAATTTATCACCTATGAACTGAACAATAAAGAATACTTAAAAAGATATCAGTAAGACATGATAAAAAATATCGTGATGTTAAGTAATACTGACACGATTTCAGTATACCTTATTTATTCAGCTGTCTAATCAAAATGACTTTCTAGTAAATTTTCAGGCAGTGTAGTCCTTTGGTCTATTCATTGTTTGATTCACTGGAACAATCTACTCCAGGTCGAATAAATCTAAATATGATACATCAAAATAATGTGATAAGGAATAACTCAGTCTGATACTAATAGTTTCCCCAGAATTAAACACCTGAGGTCGATTAATGTCAGATTCGTGGTTTATCGAAATATTTGTATATGGAGATATGAAAGTAAATAATAATTAGCTTAGGTTAAGAGACTCTCATCTAAGGTGATAAACTGAGCAATAACCGTTAATTTTCAGAAGTACATGAATGAATGTTTTTCATGAAATTATTACTAGTCTAAATATCTTAAATATTTTGATTGTGTTGCGTTCTCTAAGCTGTATTGCTTACGTGCGATGCTTTCATCGTCATTCTGGACAAATTCATCAGCATTTACTTCCTATATCTGCATGATTATGACCTGTTTTAAGCCATGTCACCTAGAACTTCTGTTGTGAATAAAGATGTGATAAATGAACGGGTTTCATAGCACTAAAATGAATGAATCCAATACTGGTCGATTAATAATGTGCAGTGATATAATATGGCTGAATGTCAACTGCTCACGAGACTAAATTCTTAGCGTGAACCCCCAACTGAACGGATAGCAGAAGGTAGGACTGTTGTCCAGAAGAACATGGTTTTCTATTTGATAAAATAAAATGCTGTCATAAAAATATCAAACAAAATAATCATGATTAAAAGTCATTTAAAAAATGAATATTTAAAAAATAGGCAACTTGTAGGTTACTTTACGGTCAATAATATGAAGACATGATCATCAATCGTTATTCCTGCGCAACATATCCGTTTCTAACCATATATTACAAAAATCTTGTGCGGGCTTTTAATATGAAATATAAATATATCAATGTGACTTATTTGAACGGTTACTGACTTAATGAATTGATGTATTGTATAAGGTTGGCCTTCTGTAATCTTGCTCCAACCTACTCTTATAGAGTACTCGATTTTTTATTAGTATTCAGATCCACAAGCTTACTAACTGTAATTTATCTAGATTTGTACATTGACTGAACATTGAGTAGTAGCCAGTTCCTTATTTATCAGCTCTTTAGTACTAATCGAACTCTGTTGATAGAGTTACGATTTATTTAATAATTTAACGTGTAGAGCTTCCTGTCTGCTTCATTCACTAGCCAACCATCAAAACACAGTCCACGCAGTAACATTTTGGTAGTGAACTACTAATCACTGATCAATCATTGTGAGAGATTAGTTGTTGTTGGAAAAACCTGATGGTATAATCTGTATAACACAAGAGTGAATTTTATAAGGATTATCGGTTCCACCATAACTACGCATAAGCCTGGTTGATGATAATTAACTGAATCACATAACTTAATTCTGGAGCTACCTACTCATTGACCCTAACCAATTAACATTTAATTTTTTTATCGGTTTACATATGGTAGCCCTGTTGTTTAGTTTCGTGTCTGTGTAAACCTCGTGCTCAACTATATGAATTAGTGATAAGTTAACTGGTTTTTTTTATTGGTAACATTTCAAGAGTTCCTGCACCTCGTCATATTGGCACAGCAATTATCCCATTGTATCATCTATTGTATCCAAGACCACAAGCTACATCACATCCAAACACTAATTCTATCAACTGTTTAGATGGTGATCCATCTGGGATACGTTGGTGGAATAATCAACGACAAGGGATGGGAACAGATAGTATGAATTCAAGTGGATTGGCAGTGTTTCCTTTATATCGTGCAAATACAGCAAATCTTTATGATAGTTGGATTGCTGTACATATTGAAATGACAGGATCAAAAACTGAAAATTGTTTATGGGTATGTAACATTACGGTAGAGTATAGAATGAGTCACAGTACTTTTATTATCTAAGGTTATTTTTTCACTTAATATTCAGGATGTTAATAAGATAAGAATATGACCATTAGATTATAGTACTGTTCTATCAGTCTGTTGATTTAAATAGTCTTATTTTACAGGTAATTATAGTGTACGACATTTAAATCAATGACCAGATAATGCCTAACTAATCTGTAAAAAATAATGAGATCCCAGTGAATTTGTAATTCATCTCAAAAAACATATTACTCATGAAATTCAAGTTTTAAAATGACTTAATTCGCCTTAAATTACCTGAAAGTTTGAAGTAGTATACAGTGGACCGTGACATGAATGGTCGGCTAAACCCTTACTTAGTCACGGTTGTATTATTTGGAGTAGTTTTAATCAGAGTGTGTACTGTAATCGTCGAAGCAACATCATCGCCCCAACTGGAAATCGATATTGGAAAGCCAATCAGAAGTTGCCAAATGAAAAGGTCAATCGATGGCAATCAGTAGTGACCTGAAGGATAGGTGCATTTCATTGATTAAGAAATGAATTAATTTCTTAAAGGATAGAGTTTTATATATACAAATGAGTATTTGTACAGTTTATCTAGTATCCCGGTATACTTTCTCGCTCACACTTTTGTTCTTGCTCAAGTAGTCAGCTGGGGAGTTAACCCGTAGCACGTTGTGTATCAGTATCAGATTTCGGATACCGCCTGTCATAAGAGAAATTATGCACCTCTTGATGCAGTTTATCCTAGAAGTGAATTATCAACTGACAATGTATTTTTCTTTGACTCTCTTTCAAGCCACTCCCGGGTTTCTATCGTTCTGCAGTTGAATTCATTCAGAGAACGAAATTATCTTTGAATTGAAAAAGTCTCCACCGGTTATTCAGATAAACCACAGATCTATTTTTTGTTCCAACAACTGATTTTCTGTATTTTGATTGAGATCTTGAACCGACCGATGTTAGACCACCCTTGAAAATCTGGAAGCACTAGACGGCCGTTTCGTCCTATTGTGGGACTCCTCGGCAGTGCGCATCCAAGACGTCTCTCGCAGGATTCGAACCCAGGGCCTTCAGCCACGCGCGCGGACGCCGAACCTACTTGACTACTGAGCTGGCATTTAACGGTGCTAATTTCTTAACCCATCCAATTCACGAAATTGAGCAACCATCTTTCATTGTACTGAGGTAGATACCTGTCTCTACCCAACACGGAATAACTCTACAATAGGTCCACTGCTTCCAGGTTTTTAGTGGTGTTCTAACATTAATCGGTTCAAGATCTCAATCAATAACTTAATAATCTCCACAACCTTATACTGATAGTTTTGTATGTTAACGGAAAACATGGATGAGAGTTTATCAAACTTTGGAAATTACCTGCCCATTATCGCTTATTTTTAAAACAAATAATTTTTTTTAAAAATAAATCTCTATTTACTGTCTTAATATATTTATTTGATTTCTGGTTGTATTTCACCTTCACATGTCATCTTTAAGTCGAAACGATATCATACTTGTAAAATGAATAAATTAATTATACCTGAAATTGATGGACATTTGGGATGGAATTTAAAACATTACAAAATACCTTCTTCACTGATCAATAACCCATTACATAACAGTAATAATAATTGTAATTTAACTACCGAATTATATGCTGATAATTATCAAAAAACTGAAACGTTTCCTGCTGAAATTATTGTTGAAAAGGCATATCATTTACGTTTATTTCATCAGTAAGTTGAGCAAAGAATTTTATTTCAATTATTGATAGTATGTGAATCAAGAAATTTGCTGAGTCTTTTTTTTCAAATATTTATTTATATGAAGAATCAAATCATAAACAGTTTGGGATAATATTGTCTGAATTTTACAGGGAAACGATGATGTTGTGGGGGTATGTGTTTTGTCCGTGCAAGTTGACAATGGAAAATAACTGATTTGCTTTAATTTAGGGCTCCCTTTCGATGTATGTATATTTATACAGTGTTGCATGAAACTTAAATTAAGACTTTCAAATCGCATAGTATGGATATGATGGTCAATGTATAATGTATAATAATCCTCTTTTATTATCATAGGTGTTTAGTGCCTCCTCACTCTTAATCTTGATTGAATTTGCAGGTTACAGTTTACCACTAAAAGATCGTAGAATATTCAAACAGTGATTATTATTTAGTATAAACGTATGGTTATTTATTTTCTAAATCGGTTCAGTGATGATAAAGAAATTTTATTTTGCGAACTCAGAAGTTCCCATATCAGAATAATCCGTTTATGTTATAACGCTTGGCTTTACTTCGTCTAGTGTTATAACAGTTGGGTTTCCCACGTTTACAGGTATGGGACTTTAATTTACCTTAAACGATTATCTACATTAGATTCCTTCCCAGTGTCTATTCTACAAGATTTCAACACAACTCACATCAAGAACACGTGATTAGTCTGACCACAACGTAAATATATTTCCACACCGAGAACCCGACACAATCCGACAACAATGAACAATCAATAATAAGTGAGAGACATAATAGGAATAAAGATAGGGGAATATATAACTCATCTGACACGTGTGAGACTATCTACATGTCTGACTAAGCATTCAACCAATCGTTATCATTCTCGCCCACACATCAGTTTATGAACAGAATTATCATCAATGTGTAAACTTCCAGGTTTTCTGTAGTGGTCTAAATAAGATCGGTTCGTGATTTAAACTATAAAGATAATTTTTTTATGAATAACAGCAGTATATAATGGTAATACTAAAGGGTGATCATAGCAACTCGACGTATATCACACTGTAAGTTCAATTAATCAAGAATTGACGACATCAGTTATTCATATTTTCAATCTGAGTTACGTCTTTGATTTTTGCCCATTTGAATGTGCAATGATTAATCGTTGGTTGTTTGGAATTTACGGAATCATTGAGAATAATCACTACTGAATATCTTTATTAAACCTGTACCACTTCAAAGTAGCCTATGTATCCAACTAGATAAAAATAATTGTAGTGCAAATTTAGTTACATTTTCTTGTTTGCAGTCAGACCATTGTTTTCTGTTCTAAATTTACCGATAAAAGTTTGCTATGATACTTTCAATTTATGTCCTTGATAGCATTTCCGAAGTAACAAAATCTTTATCCCTTTTTTAACCTAAGATTCTCAATGAAATTCTTTTCTGTAGTATAAATATTGCACCAACTTTATGACATCACATATTTGTTTTCAAGTGAACAGGAATTTTGTTTTATAGTGAGACACTCAATATCTGATTTTCAATTGTCCGATTAATACATTATTCAACATTACTTTGAAGATAGTCTTTTCAGGCATTAGGATCATTGAACAAGACCTATAAAGTTAATATCAGATTTTTAGATTGAAGACCTGTGGACCTTTTTATGAAATTATTTACTGGCAGTTTGATTTGCACTTGTACGTAGAGATTTCCACGTTAGAATCGAAGAGTTAATAGTGTGCTATAGTCGGAAACGGGTAAAATGACCCTGTATCATTTGCAATGGCGCATTTGCGTTCACTCTGTATCTTCCCTGAAAACTTGGGGTTGAAGTCAATTCACAAATTTACTTCGACCTCATTTAATTCCTTTAAATTTTATTTCATATATTATGCTACCCATTGCGTTTAATTTTATCGTACTTTCTCCGCCATATCACCATTTAAATTTCGATTCCTGATTTGCTGATACTAAGTGTAAAAGTTTACAGCAACAAATACTCGTTTCAAATCCTACGTTGTCTTTCATCGATTAACTGATTCATTGTCTATGTGATACTTTTCATACACTAACTAAAATCAATGAAATGGGAAAGAAGTATTAACTATCTTTTCCTCTTTGGTTTGAAGTCTCCTATTCAATAGTATTAATCTTCAACCTTTAGAGTTCATGATAATCACAGAACTATTCAGTCAATTGGTCAGGATTCTTTAATTAAACTTCAGTATGATACAGCGTTCTCTCAACAAATGTCATTCAGTAATTATTCGCTTTACTCTTGAGTTAGTTAACTGATAGATTAAATTTCTAGTACAATAATACCGTAACACGTTTTAGCATATTTGGCAAATGGTCAATACTGAAATGTAGGATATGCATCTTGTCTTATTTAGAACTCAGAAACTTAATGTCTAGACCTCAGTGTTGATATTCATACTGAGATTCAGACCCATTACTTTTCACTTCAAATAGTCACATATTATTTACTGCGCCTAATAAGTCTAGGCAAACACTAACGTATTCAGAAAGCATATAAAGAAATAGAAACTGAACAGTTGCAGTCCTGAATATCAACAACAGAAAATTACACATTTTTACCAGCAATACTGTCGTAACAGTTTTTAAAAGATGATGTAATTCTTTTGTTAAAAGTTTACTCTTATTATTTTTCTAGTAATAAATTTGATAATTCCACTGAATCAAGTGAAAACAGTGAACCATACTTTAAGACAATTGATAATGATAATAATGAAACAGCTGATTATTCTGTATTTGTTACATTTCCTGTGGATGGTGGCAATCATTATTGTTCAAATAATAATCCACTGAATAAACATTCCGTTATTGGTGATACTAATCAAGATGAAAGATTATGGAAACAAATTACTAAATTATCCAATAATAATTCAAACCGTATAGCTGCAACACCAAAAGTTAAAAATCTCGAATATGCACATTGGAATTATTGCCGTTTTATTCGTATATCATCAGAGTTGGTACAACCTTCATGTAATCAGGTAACAGAAAAAAAACACTCAATCTGTTTAATGTCAAATTATTATCTTCGCAAATTCATCTCTTAAAGATACCCATTCTAGAAGTTTTTATTTATTTACTACCATATATTATTTTATTCACAAGGAGACCATAAATATGAATGGGATGCTTAAGGTTCAGTATGAGTAAAACGCTAAATGTGATAGTTAAATGTAAAATTATGTTTTAAATAATCGCAGCTATTAAAATTTAAACAATTTTAATTATTCTGCTAGAAACTGGACCGAGCGTTCCAATGGTAATAACCGCTGGGGAGTTCAGAAACTTCTCTCATCAAGACCCATAGAAGCTCAGAAAACTCTAGGACATATTTTATTCAGTCAGCATTGAGTAAAAATCTCTTTAAAATATCTAGCAAAATGAATAGATATTTATTTATATCGTTGCTGTATTTAGTATACTTACAAAAAGTTTAAAAAGACCGAGGTCACATGAAACTCCATAAATACACTTGATTTACTGTACATACCTGACTTTGAAGCAAAGCTCTTACATTTTGCACGTTTTTCTTTATTGTTCGAGCTCAAATGTAGTAGTTTTAAGGTTATGGGAAACATCCAGGAAATTAGTATTCGGTGTTCCATTAGCAGACTTAATAACCGAAGTCAATGTTATGGAAAATCACAAATAATTCTGATTATTTCTGTAAAGAATTACGAACCTGTTTATCAGAAGGAACGTTAAAATTATTTCAATTCCGATCAATGAGATTATTTCGAATATAAATTTACATTTAACATCTATATACTTGATGCTCAATTTCTGTCAAACTATTAGTTCAAATTTTGACGAATGTTCGTATAAACTATTTTACGACTTAATGCAGTATGAAAATAAATTGACTGATGTGAATAAGTTATCTATATCACATTTGATCTAACCATATTACTCACTATCAGCTCTGTCTTCAGTACTTCAGTCGATACGTTGTCACTCGGCTTGATAATATTACGAGCAAAACGTTACATAGTGGATATTAACCTTTCAGGAATACTGATATGTTCTAAGAAGTACAGTTTGGAAACAATTAATAAAAAGAACATCCGGAGATCTGCGTTATCATTCCCATGCTTCTGTAGAAATTTGTGCCATAATCTTTGAATAGCACAGTGGAGTTTTAGAAATAAAACTTTTATCGGGAATATCTTCAGTTTCATAGAACAATAAACATTAAAGCTTATAGGTTCAAATAGATCCCTTTAGATATGGCACCTTTTAACCAAAACCTCCTATCAATTAGAGAATTATTCCAAAATGTCATTAATCATTGAACAATTGTTTCATAATTGTTTGAGACCCTTATGTAGTGCACATAAGCGACCGCCTACGGGATGGAACTCGAAATCTTGATTTTATTCTATACCTACTCTTTGACTTTACTGGAGTTGAAAACCAGTGAATCATTAGATTTCGACTCAATGGGATAAATGTATCTTTTTGGTTTTGAAAAGTGAAAATTCTGGCTTCCAGTTCATGTGGAATTATGGGTCTTCACTAATTTGGAACTATACACTGAGTGAAGAATTGTCCATTCTTTTTATGATTTCCAATGATCGCCCAACTTATCCCAGCCCATGATGAACAAATTCAAACGGATCACTTACTAAAAAATGCAAACGTTTTCTGTTATATACTATCTTTAGTTACCGAAACCAAACTATTAGCGCATTAGTGAGCTCATCTCAATACTTTCCAATCAAACTTTTAGTGTGCCTACAATAATTCTTGACACAGTCCCCAAACCTTCAAGAAAAGAAAGGAAGTATTAGATTTATTTACCATTACAGCCAACGATAATACGCAGGAGAAAATATGAGTATTTATACATTTTCACGTGCCTTTGAAAATTAGATATTCAGAATTTGTGTTTTAGGACACCAGGTTGGACAGTAAGTGAGCAGTTTAACAATTCAAAGACGGTGATAAACAAACATTTTCTTTTGGTTTATTTACGTTGGATTTTTTATACGTAATATATTTTATGTGAATTTTCTCTCATACGCGAATATATAGGGATTAATGTTTTATGTATGGGCTGTGAAACATGATAATGATGATTTTGATTTGAATAATGATAGTAGCTATACACCAAAATTAATCGGTATTGCCACAGTCGATTTAACTACTCTATCACATCTATTCACCGATCCGATTCATTCAACTAATAATGAATTTAATCAAATTTATGGTTGGTATCATGTACTAAATAATGATACAGGATGTCCATCTGGTCAAATTTTAATTGGAGTCAAACCATTAATTAATATTGGACAACAACAGCAAGTCAATTATTATTCTTCATCACTGAACAATAATGAATTTACCACAAATAATAACTTCAGTTGTCTATCACACAATGCATACACTGATCAGGTTGGTTTATTTGAGCCATTATGAATAAAAGTTTCGTTCTTTTCTGTCAAAATAAATAAATAATAATTTTTTTAATATCATGAATGGATCAATGTTAGATTACCATTGAAAACCTGGAAGCACTGGACGGCCGTTTTGTCTTAGTATGGAACTGTTCAGAAGTGTGCATCCACGATCTTTCAGCCGGGACGTTTTGGCCTCGAGAACTGTTGAGGAGTCCCATACTGTTATGAGAAGGCCATCCAGCGCTTCCAGGTTTTCAATGGTGGTCTTACATCGATCCATTCATGATATCAACCTAAACTCAGCTATCTCCACAACCATATACTGATAATATTTTTTTGTTTTAATTTTTGATTAAATCAGTTTGAATTTGTAAACAGTGTATTCGTTATAAACTGATATATCACTTCAGAGAACTATTAGAAAATCACTTGTTACTAAACAACAGTTAGTCAGTCATAAGCCTAATAACTAGTGTATTTGAGTTATTGTGTTCGATTTTGAAGAGTTTTATCCGATTTCTCCGATTATTGGTCACGATAATCATGTAAACCTTCCAGACCGATTCAAACTAGGAAAACGTGGTCGTTGTAAATGGCGTCCTAGTATCCCATGGTTCATTTGGTAATATATGTCCTTGATGAAAACTATCTTCCAACTAAAACTATACTAATACTATACAATCAGTCCCTTTTATGAATTCCAACAGAACAATTAGAAGGCGGAGTTTATCTGAAACTGTATTATTTATTTTCATTCTTGTTAAATAAAGTTAAAACGAATAGCACCAGTGAAAACTTAGATAAGTAAATGCTGATATATTATTTTGACTTGTAAATTTAATAGTATTCGAAGTTGCTAATTTTAATCAACAACGGAAAACGTAGACATTACATTATACATCTTTGGGAGCTCTTGGTCCTTGATCGAGAACAGTTCTTGATTGAAAGTATTCTCACAATTTTGTTAACGAGAATATATAGGCTCTGTTTATATAATTCTAAACATAATTATTGGCACCACTCTGAAAAGCACGACGAAGCCTTCAGAGACTCTAAAGGAGCCGAAGAGATTCCGTTCAATCAGAACCTGATAAAACCTTCTAGAATATCAACGTGGCAAGCTATTTTGGATAATTATATAAACCTATTGTGGATTGGCTAGATTAAAACGATGTTCTAACCAATACTAAAAACTATAAATACCTATATTTTTCTGCACATTTTTTACTCTTACTCAATAATCGTTTCCCCTGCTTCTTCCTTTGGTTTGCAACTGTGTTGTCCTACACGTCCGAGTATTGATAGGGGTATACCACATTCTGCCCTAATCAAGTACAGGAAGTAACCATAATAATAATATAACAATTATTATTATCATTATTACCATTATTTTTGTTCATATCTTTTTACATATCAGCTGTCATTTATGATCCAGTAGTCTTTATGGTTGAATATCTGGAATTTGAAGAATTAATTATTGGTTACAGGTTAAGTCTAACTGAAAGGCATCAATCTATTGGAGTATAATTATATTATTCAACTGAAGATTTATAGATAGGATGAATTCCTTTTTAGGAACTAACTACTAGCTAGAATCACTCTAGAACTTATTACTTCTTCCTATAGACATAAATATATTTGAACTAGTTATTCGCAAAATGGATAATTTAATGACAATCGGCCGATTTTCTTTCTATTCATTTCTTTTGGCCCAGATTAAACCGTTTGGAAATTATTCCATTTTTGAACAAGATTTAAATTCGACATTATTAAACTGTGATTTGGCGAAATCAACGCACTCATTAATTGATTGTAATACAGGCAAAATATCTGATGATATACTTGTGAATAAAGAGGAATCTAATCATTCTGAATTAAATCGTTCTGTGTTATTCGAGAATTTAAGGTACTTTATATACACATATCCTTTTTGTTGAGTCTATTTCTTGATTTTTCATTAATATATGTTCACTTTCCAAACCGATATCATTTAGCCAAATCTCTAACAGCCAAGTGTATAGAACTCAGTTTTCTCGCCTTTACTCGAGACGAATTCATCAGCGATGCTTATATCTGTAAACTCAAATTAGATTGGATCCAGGATTATCAGTTCTTGTGGCTAAAACATTATCACAGAGGTAATAAGTTGAGATAACATTCACGCCACAGAACTTGGATTTAATAGGTTCAGTTATGTTTGAGGTTGTGATTGCAGACTTATCACGGGGCCCAGACTAGGATAAAACAACTGCTCAGGACTTCCTGAAGACTATCGATTTTCCACTTGATATCAGTTCGGGATGAAACATTTCCTTTAATTGAACTAATCGTCTCGTTAGTAGAATAGTATTCTGACTGTTTCGCACACTAGTAAGACTCACATTAGGAAACGATGAGTGGCTTATTTGCAACCAATCAGTTATTGGACTAAACATGAAGTTACCAGAAGATTTTTATGTAAATTCTGTGTAAACCCTAACACTTTTACTGCTGTATCTTAGTTGTTCAGGCCATTCGAATATACTTTTGTTTGCTCTCAATTCTTATTGTGATCTGGAAGGAGTCGATCGAATTGTTGTAGCTAAAGAATTTTGAACAGCAGTAGAATCCAACATTCCGTAAACCACCTACCTAAATTTTTAACTTAACAGATTCCATTAACCATTTCTTTTAGCTAAATCTACATGTTATTTTCTCTCAAGTACTTTTTCTATTCCATTACTATGTTATTTCACGTTTCATTAATTTACTGAATTCTCGTTTTTCTTGAATCTTCAATCAAAACAAAAGATAACACAAATGTGCACAAGTTTTTTCGACGGTTTTATCTGAAAACATTATCTTTGTTTATACTACAAAAAAGATATTCACAACCATCACGTATCATGATTCATATAAATCTCTGTAGGTAGTACGAAATTTAAACACTCCAAAAAACCTATTAACTGACTTCATGATCGACATCTGGTTCTTTTTTAATCTTTAAAAAGCCTAATAATACATAGTGACAGGTCTGAATCAACAATCTATTGTTAGAAATTCATGGAACTTAAGCTTACTTGGCTTATTCATTTTCCAACCATGAATTTTTTGAATTCGAATCCATTACCCAAAATTTAGTTTAGGCAGCTAAGTTGTATCACTCACCAGCCGTCATTTGTAGAATGTGCAGACTAAAAGATCGATATATTGATGAGAAACATGAAAATTAAGATATTTCTAGCGACATTTTGTATAACGCTGTAGTTTAGTGGGATTGGACCACTGAGCTTTTACTCATTATTGGGTTTGTGATATGTCTTGTTGTTTGAACGCTAGATTCGGCTCCTAAGCTCTGCTAGTAACCCCGAAACACGACGACGACGACCCTAGTCGAAAACGCACTCATTTATATATTGATTGTACACACAGTTTGATAATTAATTAGGAAGAAATCACATATATAGAAAATACTGACAGCGATAACAAATCATATGCTGAGCATTTACTTACTTACTCCTGTTACTCCCAATGGAGCATAGGCCGCCGACCAGCATTCTCCAACCCACTCTGTTCTGAGCCTTCCTTTCTAGTTCTATTCAATTGTTGTTCATTCTTCTCATGTCTCTCTCCATTTATCGGCGTAATGTGTTCTTTGGTCTTCCTCTTTTCCTTTGGCTTTGAGGATTCCAAGTGGGGGCTTGCATTGTGACGCAGTTGGGTGCTTTCCTCAATGTATGATTAGGACACACATTGAGGAAAGCGTAGTTCATGTCTATTTTTAATACAACAATATCGTATGTTATACAAAATAAAATATCATACGGGAAAAGAAAATAAATACTACACTAAGTAATTATCACATTGAACTAGAAAACAGAAGTAATGTTGAACAAAACTCAGAATGAGTAAATCAATCGAACTTTGACTTTTCTTCCCACCATATCAGTTTGAAAGTTCTATATAATCCCATCTGACCTAGTAAAATCAAATCCTACCTAAATACTATCGCTAACTATCATACATTCAAACACATAAAACTGTTGTGTCACATGTTAATTGGTCAAAGATAGTCGATATGAAACCCTACACCTAGGTTACGTACTAACTGGTACTAATCAAGAAGTCGTGTCTGTAATTTAAAGGGAACTGATGCTGCCTTTAAGATTCAAAACCGGATCACTAAACTTAAAAGTGCAATATAAAATTCATTAATTAATTATATTTTCATTTCTTTTGATCATTGTTTTGATCATTCACAAATCCTCCTTATTTCACTCACCCTTATTTTTTATTTATTTCAATCTCTATGGTTTATGTTTGAATTTAGAACACGTTTAAACGAACTAGATGAAATAAATACTAAATTGAAGAATCGTTTAAATTTATCAACATTCAATGAAAAATTTTTTAGTCATGCTGATAATAACACTAATGATAATAATAATAATTGTAATGATGATAAAAATGTGAAAAATAATTCATTTTTTAATCAATCATCTGAAAATAAATTACAATTCTTAAATGAAGAAAAAGATTATTCGAACTTGATGATGAATGGTCTATCACATTCTCAGCATCAACGACATCATAGTCAGCATTTAACAGATTTACATGTTAATGATGGAAATACGTTGCATGTAAATAGTCAATTTCAATGTACAGGTAGGTACTTGTCATGAGACTTTATAGTTTATATGTTAGTCTGTCTATTGTATATATATATGATTTTATTCGATCATTGGTTACTTCATAACCTTCAATCTCTTTTTTGATTGTTTATTTGCTAATTAACAAGAATAAATCATGATTACAGTTTTAACCTCTAGACCATTGAGCCGGCATTCAACGGTGTTAGTCTCTAACTTAAACCGATCCGCGATACTGCGCGACTATCTCCCTTCGTTTTTAGTGGGTAACTGCCTCACATCCGACACGAATTAGCTCCACGGGTCACAGTTTCTCACTAGAACTCCTATAATTACCTCTCCAAGCTAGTCACTAGTTAACACATAGTCGTGCAATATCATGGATTGGTTGAAGTTAAACATTAACACCGTTGAATGCCGGCTCAGTGGTCTAGAGGTTAAGTGTTCACTCGAGAGACCGAAGATTACAGTTTTATTTGACTGTTTTGTAAATTAATAACAGAATTCATTTCCTTATGCACTGTTATTCGTGTATTCTGTCAATTAACTATTAATTCTGTATTTTCAGATCTGATTGGTTGAGTTTTAGAGCTTGTACCTCAAATACTTAAACTACAACCACTTTGTTTTAGGCTTTAAACCTTCTTTTACTATGGCAACTCTGAGTTATCTGTCATATTTGATGTGTTTTTTTTTAATGAAAATCACATTATTAGATAAGTTTAATTCATAATTACCATAATTGTATTTATTTATCGAAATAACTGATGAATAGTATTAAAATATAGTTGTAGGATTTAATTTGTCCTACAGATATTCTACTAGAACCATAAACACCATACTAGCAACCCCAGAGTCTACATGAACGTTATAGTCAGAACAAGGACAAATTAACTTTAAATTTTATCTGTTTATAAACATAAAAATAACAATTTGATAAGTACAATAATTAAAGGAATTATAGTCATTAAGTGGAACGCAAAAACATATCGACCAGCATTGCATATCTTATCTAAATGAATAAAATTTATGATAATATAATAAGGTAATAATATCCTTCAGTTGGTAAATCACATGTAACAGGGATAGTCTACAGACACATCAGACCAGATTAACGTGGTGAGCGCTCAAGCAACGACTTAATTTGTTAGTTATGGACATAACTAACAATTTTAACACAACTATAATCTCCTTTTAGTATAAAAAAAGTTGTGGGGATTTTTGAATTTTTTGTTTGACATCGTGAAATGACTATAGTTAAACAACCATTGGAAACTGAGAAGTTCTAGGCAGCGAGGGAATTACTCATCAGCAGTATCGCAAGATGGTTCAAAATCGCGAATTAATTTAAACGAGACAAGTAAACTAATGTGAACCAACTCCATAACCTAAGCATTAAGCGCTCGCCACCAAACCTGAAATCCGTTTCTTAGATTTCCTAGAGGGGTTGTGAGTTCACATTGCTGGATGGTCGTATATGAGGACTTAACAATTGTCCCCCTGTTCTCTGTTTTCAATAGTTTTCTAATTAAGTCAGTTCGCTTTGTAAACGATTTAGTTTCCTTTTCGGTATACTCGTTGTTTTATCCTCTTTTTTATGTTAGTTCTACAGTCTCAATTAAACCAGGATAGTGATGATTATACGTATTCCACACATAAAATAAATGATGATTACACAATAAATAAGTTTAAAAATCACTGGAATCATAATTTTACCATCGATAATTCTTCATTAAAAAATTCTACCAACGAAATTATTGAATGTTTAATTTCAAACTCATTAAATTATTCTACTGGAAATAGAAGACTGAACACTGTGGAAAAAGACAATGACAGCAATAATATTGACGTTGAAAGTGCATTGACAAATGATGGTGATAATGATGATGATACTAACACATGTAAGGATGATGAACAGTCAGAGATTTCTGTGGTTTCACCTTTGCTGCATGACCAATCTTCAAATATTTCTGATGCTCATGATTATAATGACGATGATGACATCATCAGTATAGGTACAGACATTCAACGTGTCACAAGTTGTAATGAAATTTCTCAAGAAGGTGGTGGTAGTTATGATACTGATTGTAATAAAGATGAAAAGAAACTTGAAGAAGATAATATCAAGCAACCCCATGATAATAATAACAATGATAGTAGAAGTAGTGATAAAATAGTGCACAATGGAAGCGGAAAATATTCACCAATGAATAACAAACTATCGCATAAAGAAATTAATCATGTATTAAATGAAATACTGGATAAAGAAAGTTTATCTGAAACTTCAGCTTCCTCTGTATGGTTACCAGATGACGATGACAATGTTGATAATAATAGTAATAATGGTGTTTTACACGAAAATGATCCAAATTCATTATATACACAATCAACTATTACACAATCACCTCCATCAATCGATAATCAGTCAATTAGAGAAGTTGAAGTTTCAATGACAAATAGTCATATTTTTCAGAATATGCAATTCGATAAACCAATCATATCGCATGAAAATGAATTGACTCAGAACAGACGTATTCAAAGTGAAGTCTATGGGTAAGATATTTTTCATTATATATATATATATATATAGATATACATATATAATGAGGGTTACTTTTGAGGGATGGTATGTTCCCCTATAAAAACAATTTCCCATTTTAGTATTCAGAATTTTTAATCTTGAATTAGTGATATCTTCTCTGGCCGAAATTCCGTCACAATTTATGCGTATATAGCCTCTGCCAGGGAAGTACTACTCACTGCCTTCTCGTGGCATTACTGTTTTTTACGAAATTGAGAGGACGAAAAGCGAATGTCCGGCGCATTAACCGGGTTGATGGACATAGAGAGTTCACCTAGGGGAGTTGGAAAACCCTGATTCCAAATCAATGGTTCACATGGGCCCCGTGATCCTGAGGGGACAAATGGCGTATGAACCAATCGTTGGTCACCAGCTACCATGAGACTGCATCTCCTTACGATGCTCCACTGCCTTGTGGATCAGACCTCAGTGTTAAAGGCTCCGAGGGGGCTCCCTAAGAAAACCACCTGCTTCGGTCTGGGCACACGAGCAGTATCACAGCCCTCACACAAATCAAATGAGATTTGTGTGGCGCATATGTATTTGGTGCCTCCTTGTATGTTAAAATAAATAAAAAATCTCATCTTCACCATGGTCAAAGATACTTTCCATATTTGGTTTGTTGGTATTTTAACTGAGAATCAATTTTGTTATTCTACTTTTCCAAGTCATTCGTTCATACGTGATAGTTATCTGTCAAGCCGAAATTCTTTGATAAATCTACGAAAAAGTTTGATTTTTGTTTAGCTGAAATTGTGAAATCTAATAGAAAATTGTGAAAAATCTATCAGTGCTAGGAGTGATTTGCCCAACTTTCAAAACGTATTAGGTTTGTGTTATAGTATTTAGTCTCGTTCATCTGTAGTACATACTCCTAACTAAACAGGAAAACATTGCAAGATTCAATATGGATTTTTATCATTAGGAGGTACCAAGCGAATATATTTGTGTTTACTGGTTAATAGAATTAAATTAGCTTGTGATCGGTAATCTTAACGAGAGACATGGTTCAATTACTTATGGTAACTTGTCTACACTTGTATCAAATTTCCTAATACAATAATTGGCTAATCTAGTTCGCTTGGTACATTAATAATAATAATAATAATAATAATAATAATAATAATAATAATAATAATAATAATAATAATAATAATAATAATAATAATAATAATAATAATAAGTAAATAATAATTAATAAATAATTCAATATAATATGATTATATTTTACTCGTTATTATATTACGAACGAGTGAACTGTTTTATACTTTACCATGACAATACTTACAGTTACCCGTTTGTTACTTTCCTAATAACTCTATTATATATAAATAATACTGTGAATAAAGTATCTTTAGTTGTTCATCAGTGTTTCCTTTCAATAGTATTATAATTTTAACATCATATAGTCTTCATTCAACCATTAAGGAGAGTGTTAGTGCTAATAGTAATGTCACAAATATATTGATTTGATGAACCTCATGGAATTCTAGATTTCAACTCAACTGTCTTGAAACCGCTAGTCAGTATCATATGACGAGTCATCAACTAGAATCCTGATTCTATGATGATCTATTTCGTATATACTATTTCCTTGAAAACCTGTTGTCCCCAAATTGATCAATTGCACGCCCAACCAGTACTGGTTGACCCTGAACTAACATCAACAAGCTGAGAATGGCCGTGAATAGGCGGACTGTAAGTTATCAGCTGGCAAGAAATTAGGTATAAAGTGTTGTGCAAGATCATGGGTTGATTGAAGTTAGACATGAACACCGTGGGATGTCGGTTCAGTGGTCTAGATATTAAGCGTTCGCGCGCGAGTGATGCCAGGGATGCACATTAACCGGGTATCCTACAGTGAGACGGAACGGCCGTCTACTCCTTTCAAGCTTTTAGTGGTGGTCTAGCTAAGGTCAATTCGTGGTTTCAAAGAGATTAGAGACAGTAAATCGTACAACCACAGTTAATGGGTTAGCCGAAAGCTTACGATAAACAGAACATATATACATAGTAGCCTGGCAACTCAGTAATTATACAACGAAGTTATGATCTGTAATAATTTGTAAAACTGGTCATAACTTCTACAATGTTTGTTTTGTTATAACAGAGTGCGATAACGTTTTCCCATCTCTTCATGTTGGTATAATGCCACTCTTCAAAATCTCATTTGCTTTATTTTAGATATAAAACGAACAGACTGATTTCATCAAGATAAATTCTTATCACCTTTTTCATGGGTTTAACTTTGTTAGAAAGTTATAAAGGTATTTGATGAATGCAACCTGGTTGACACTGTTGCATAGTTTATCCATGTTCTTCAAGTATATGACATCATAGTTTGTTCTCTAACCGATCATATTTCATCATGTTTTTGTCATCTTATTCTATTTTGATGTATCCGGTGCAAATGAGTCATGATAAGTTATTGAGCGCAGATAGAAATATTCATGTGTATTGTAAACTATATTTCTGTAACCCTGTGTACTTGTCATAAAATACTTTAAAATACTACTGCCTTAATTTTGAAATGATTGCTGACAACAGATCTATGAAATGTTACTGTCCAATGATCCACGCTGTATTACTTTACAATTGCGAAAAATATCTAACATATAGGTCGTACAAGTATTTTATGATAAAGAATTGTAAACAGATTCATCCCTTATGATATTACCATTAAATAGTGTTAAGTCAATGAATGGGATTTTAATGTTTCTCATTCATTGAAGTGTTACGAACGCTATGCATCTTCGTCCATTCAACAAACTATAGTTCGTTGGTTGCTGAAGGAGTATACATTAGAATAAAGCCGAAATTAATCATGGTACATAATCATTATGATGTTGAATAATTGTATGCTAACTGACTACACTAAAATTATTACTATTAAGTTTTTTGGTTGAGATCATAAATCAATTGATGTTAGACCACCGTTGGAAACCTGGAAACACAGGACGGCCGCTTCGTCCTAGTATGGGACTCCTCAGCAGTGTGTGGGATCGTGGATGCGCACTGCTGAGGAGTCCCATACTAGGACGAAGCGGCCGTCCTGTGTTTCCAGGTTTACCATAATGGTCTAGCTTCAATTGACTCATGATCTCAATCAAAAACTTAACAATCTCCACAACCCCCATACTGATATTACTATTAAGTTTATTTACTCATATTTAGTGAATATGGGCTAATCCGTTGTGATGTTCATTGCATTTACAATTATGTATATATAAATATACTTTATGCCTTGTCAGATCGAATGAAGAGAAAACGGATAAAAACAGAGATAATGAAGAACAAAAAGAAAAAGGAAAAATACTCCCATTAGACAATCATGATGATAATAGTGCTGGACTTTCTGACAACTCAAAGTTACTAGACAAAGATGATGATTTAGCTGAAACTAGTCGGTGGGATACAGAACAACCATTATCAATCAATTCAAAGTTAACACCAATGTTCATTCCTAATTTCTTTCCTTCTACAACTCGTATAGAAGAATTATTTACCAGCAGAACAAATGATTGTCAAGAGGACAATAAATCAATGGATTCTAATACAAATTTAAGTATGAATAATAAAGTATGTTAAACTTATGATACAATAAAATTGTAATTGTTGATAATATTGATGTTTAGTTGTTGGAACAAGATGATTTAATTTTGAAGTTTTTTTATTGTTGTTATGGATAACATCATCAGTTTCATACTTTTGGTAGATTTTTACAACAATGAAAATTTAGAAATTAAATCATCTAGTTTACGTAACTCATTGACATCAAAACTAATACAACATATTTGATATTCAGTGTGTTGTATCAAGCACTGCGTTATTAGTATGATCTTTATTACAAGCAGTTATAAATAATAACAGACGCTTCAAATGAGATTTTCGGTAAAATTTACACTCACATATTTAGCACTCACTTACTAAATAAAGAGGAACATGATTAAAATCTGTTGAACCCAACACATTTATTGAATATTGAAGTCGTTCCAGCTAACCTCAATCTAAGTGCCTCGTACAAGTATTTACACTATACTCCTTTACGCTCAGTGATAAAGACCAGTCAACGAGCAACGGTATTGATTATCGTGCATAATAATAGTTCGTTCAAAACCTTACATCTCACTTGACAGATTAATAAGAAAATCCATAACAGATTGAGTATATTCAAATGTTAACTGGACGAACTATAAATAAGCATACGACAAATAGACAATTTAACAAAGAAACTTTTTCAACGAAATCATTTACCCTAAGTTGTGTATTCGCATTTAGAAAAGTTTGATAAATAAATAGGTTAATAAAAAGATAGAAGAGATTTCATCACCAAGTAATCCGAGATTTCAAATATCAAGAAGAATCGGGTAACAATCAGATGGTTAGAAAAGAATAGAGGGATGAACATAATATAAAGGTCAGAATTATGAGAGATAATTGATAAACAATTATAAATATGAATAAGCAGAGATTAATGTTGGCTGGTAGTGAAATCCAGAACGCGCGTTTCGTCCTATTTGAAACTCTTTAGCTGGATGTACCTGCATGCCATAGTTGGTCCACTCTGGGATTCGAACCCAGTGCTTGTGATCTAAGGCAATATCGAAGCAATCCACACAGGATGCACGTACGCCAATAAGAGACTGATCAATTACAATCCTGAACATCATTGGGAAGATTCAAACAACCAATGCAAAAATGAATTATAAATATGATTGAATATATATCTTAAGTAAATGATTTCATCGAATAGAAAATTCCCTTTATTATTTTTACTCAATGATACAATGGGTTACTTTAATTAATTGATATACGACATTCCGATTTATAATAATTATTCAATATTTTATAAATTTTGATCACATTTGTCAGTGAAAATCTGTAGTGTGTAATTTTCATTACTGTGACAAAACTTTACTTAATGATTTATAGATACGTTTTGTTTTAAAGCCAGTTCCCATTACGAACTGACATTGGTAGTAAACCAAAGATAATACTACACAACCATATGGATCCTACATTTAAAACAACTTGGCAGTGTGTATCAATAAATTTTCAATACATAAAGGTTTCATATGTAATACTGGTTTACATTTTTATCTTCAGACGATTTGTGAAACTATACGATTTTAGTTTCAAGATAGAATTCTTGATATTGTCTAGTGGAAAAAGACAATCTGTGGAGTGTAAATCAGTATACACAAGTCGAGATAATCCATGATTTTAAAAACATTAACTGGTGTACCCATGGTTACTTTTCTAATATGATTTTTTTTCTTTTTCTCCTTATAGAATATAGATTCTTTAAGGAGTCGCTTGAATAATCGTTTATCAGAAGCTGTTCGTCACACAATAAATACATCAATGACAGATAACAACTCTCAAACAAACAATAGTACAAATTTTATCATAAATGATACATTATCCGCTTTAATTACAAATGGTTATAAGACAAGAAGTTTAAAGAAAGCAGAACGTGTTTTTAACATGACATTAAAATGAAATTATTTTCATTAAATTTTTATTACAACATTATCTATTTAACTGGTGAAAACAAGTTTTTATTACCATTCCAAATATTTCACCTAACAACTATTTTGTGACGTCTTTTTTTCCTTGTACATAAAAAAAAACATACATTACAACCCAGTGAATTTATGTTAAAATTATTCTTATCATTTTATTAATTTTCACCTAAGTAAGAGAGAACGATGTGAAGCTAAATAATGTACTTTAATTGCTGTTTTCTACATATATTTTCTTCTAGAATGATATCATCCACGCTTAACCCCTTGGACTAACAGTGATCTAACTATTATTTAACCTACCATGGCATCTCGCTATACTGATGTGGTATGATGAATTGAAACGTTGCACATGTGTGCCAAATTATATTCCGATTGGTTGAAAAATAATAGAAAGTAAACATTGTTGAAAGGAACCATAGAAAACCAGAAAAGTGATGAATAAATAGATGTAGAATATTATCCGAAAGGGGGTTTTGTGGAGATCGTAGTAATTTAATAGTTGGATTCCTGAGTCGATTAAAGAAACGGCCGTCCAGTGTTTCCAGGTTTTCCATGGTGATCTAGCTTAAATCGACTCATGAATCCAACTACTAAGATCTAGAATACATTATATTTGTACCACTGACTTATTGAAGCTACTTTCTACAGATTGTTTATTCGATTCCTACTAATTTTCTTCATTTTATTCGGAAAGTGAATTGAAAAGCCTAAATATGCAAAATATAATTAAAATTTGGATTTTCGTATAAATTTTACGGTGTACTACGCGACATACTTATGCGAATAACAAACGCGTCTTCTATAATTGTGCTGTATATATATATATATATATATATATATATATATATATATATATATATATCACAACTTCCTAGAAGTTAAAGTAATTTACACAGTCACTACACTCAATATTTTCACAGTACGTATTGGCGAACACTAGTCTGACAAGATAATCTTACATTTCGAAAGGGCGGAATTCACACAAAGCATTCTTAAATTTCCAATTGCTTCGGGATATATTGGATGTAGTCAGTGTCTTCACCTGGTATGGTTATCCCATAAGTCAGTTGCGGGACTTCAGACATAATATCAGTACAGTAGCTAACCGACTAGCTCCCCGAACGAGAATGGTGAGGATGGATATCTTTCGCGTGCATCACTATATATGGGTACAGAAATTGAACGAGCTTTATAAGAATGTATGAAAGATTTAGGTTAAGGCATAGTTAACGTTATATCTGAATAGATGTGAAACTGGATTGTAGCTATGAACAAGTAGACTGTCTCGAATAATTTTCAATAACCTCTCTTTTTCAGTGAATAAGCACCGAACCATTGTATTTTAGAAGCCAGCCTCCTTACATAAACACATACAATAACCTGTTATTATGTGTTTTTCTATACACAACTGCTCACAGTTGTTGTATAGACTCTTCGTCAATTCATATTTCGATGTCTTCGATTTTCATACTGGGTGGACTTGAATATATGTTACTATATATGCTAATAATAATTTATACCGGAAACAAGCTACCCTTTCCGGTCGATAAGCAAAACTACAGACCAAACTGTAAAGTGCTTGTATTTTCTTTAGTTAGCATCACACTTTGACCTATAACATAAGAATATGGGTAACAAGTATTACTTTCACGATTTATAATACCCTAGCCTAAAAACTAGACCGACTTTCTTGAATGTTAAAGAATGGATAAATAAAAAAGTATTGAGATCCAACTGATTTTATTTGTTAAAATGAAAACAGAACATTATTATTTTTCATTTTAACAAAAAGGGATTTTTTACATATACACGTGTGCAAACAAATTAGTTCTTAGTAACTTCTACCGAACAATGTATAAGAAACTGCTTTACGAGAACAATGTTGGCGATTGAAACATGGTGTATCAGGAATGGGAGTACCACAAACCAATGTTGGATTGAAATCACAAGCGAACGGGATGCATAAACTTTTTGCGCCCATAGCTGGTGCACCAGGTTCAACAATGACATTTCTATTAGGAAAATCAGAATAAAATATACTTTAGACATTTAATAAGTGGTTTTCTATAAAATGAAAATATGCATTATAAAGAACAGTTATTTGATTGAGGAAACGTAATGAGACAAAAATATACTGCTTTTCAACAAGTTATACATAGAATTCCAATTCATGGTCTCCACTTTCCAGTAATGATGGTAAAAGTTTGACAAAGAAGTGTGTGAACAATTTGAAAAGCATATAAACATCCCTAAAAAAATGTGTAATTTTCCAATAAAAAATTTAACTTAGCTAGTCGATAGAGGAAATTAAATGAACTGACAGATTCTTACATTTCATTTAGTGAAGTTTGAAAAACTTTAGACTGACCTAGAATATATGATGAAGTTAATTCACTAATTAGACATAAGTAACATTTGGAGAAAATCGGAAGAATTGAACAAATGACTAATTTTGAAAAGTGAACTATTCAATTACGACTAAGTGATATCATGATTAAGCGTCAACCATGATATCTGAAGGTCATGCCCTGGGGTTTGATCCCTGATAGAGTCGTGGATGTATTACTACCAGTGAGGAGTCTAGTTCTCGAACAAAACAGCAGTCTAGCGTTTCCTGGTTTTTATGGTTGTCTAACTACGGTCAATCCATAATGTAAACTATAAATAACAATTATATTCTTTGATCAAAAACATACATAAGCTGGTTGTACATTCACTTGCCAATTAACGAAAATCATAATGATCGATCAGACTGATTCACATAGGACTAATAGATTATCGGAAAAGTATGTAACATGAAAAAGTGATATGTATCCCAGAAAAATCAATTAACTATGTTCGTGTATAACACACAGCACATGTAGTTGCCATCTGACACAAAAGTGAAGTAAGAAATTTATTATACACGTCGTAGAAAAAATTGAGGGTATTAGATTATTTAATGTATAATGAAAACGTATATACACGCTTTGCAAATAAAAACATCACAACCATTTATTTGGCTACAAAACTTTTAAAACATTACACAATTAAGTTAAAGTAGACACTAATATACCTGGCTGATTCATGTTTAATCACCTCTTCACAATCTCTATCACAGCAAAATGGAGCTAAAGCAAGCGACTTTTGATCCAAAGCTGTACATAATTCATTCATGTTATTCACAGGCATAACATGACTAGCTAATGATTTTGTCGCTTTGTAAAACATTGCACTATGAATATCATCAAGAATACGAGGAAGTTCATTAATAAGGGAACCTATTGGTACATTTACCTATCATATACAAAATCGGTATAGAAAATACAAAAAGAATAGTGTATTCAATTAATGGAAGTGTAAAATCGATATCTTTGACAGTAATTATAACTTGTGCCTTCTTGCACAATCGGCTTCAAACAAAACATTTTTTAGAGTAAGGGAACAGTGATATCATGTAGACGCTCAAATCAAAGTAAAATTAAATTTAAACATGCAGATAACTGGTGAACAGTTAAATTACTAAGCTACTATTTTATTTACTCGTGTCGATGGTAGATCTCCTATGAGCTAAGGTGAATTCACCTACTTCTTCATAGAAGAGATTAATCAGTGTGTTAAGAATTTTGAGTGAAGTATCCAATGAACAAGGTATGACTTATGAAGCTTTAACCGTTTACTTGATCGACGTGGAAAGACTATTTAATGACAACCTTTTAGTGCCAATTCACGACGACCAAAAGCAACTCGGAAAGTTAACGCCCAATAATTTACTATTGTTGAGGAAACCTAATAAATTTACGCGAACGTTATTCTCATCAATGGCGACAAGCGCAGTTGTTACTGATTACATTTTGGCGTTAGTGGATCAGAGTATTTGTTACTCTAATAAACACGAACAGAGTGGACACAAAAAGTACGAGATTTACAAACGGGCAATTCAGTCTTGGTTATAGTAGATACTCTCCCACGTAATAACTGACTTAAAGAAGTTGTAGTAAGTGTTGGACAGAGAGAGATAGCCTTGATAGGCAAGTAGACATTAGAACATCGGGAGGGTTAATCACTAGAGACATACGTAACATCTATTTATTAGAAGGGGTAGACAAATGAGCAGCAGAGCGTAGGAAGACTTCCAGAGTGATTGTGGTAAAAGTTGTAACATAGTCGGCTTTGCATATCGTTACGCTGAATACTTAATTAGTGAGAGCAAGAAGAGAAGAAATAAGGCGTCGTTTGTGGGGGGTAAGTATTGTTCAGTTAATAGTAGAATGGTTCCTGAGATAGATTGTTATTTCTGAGCCTCAGTTTCACGCGCGTCTCAATCACGTAATTAGACGCTTTGACAGAATCAGTGGTACCACAGTTCTGAGAAAAATCGGTGGGATTTTATTGACTTTACCAACCGGTAGAAGAGCAAAGCAACTCAAAATACTTATGCAGAGCTAACAAACGACAATTTCTCATAATACTATTGGCACTAACTTATTTCTAACCATAGATACCTTCAAATCCTCTGTTACGTCCGACGGTGGGCAGAGTCCGCTCTCCCGTTGGAAATGCTCTAATATGGACACCTGCTTATAGACACTGCCAGAGAAATCCCAATGACTCTCTTCTCAGAGAAGTGTTGGCTATGAAAGTGGGAGAAGGAAAATAGAACGTTCGGAACTTAAACCTAGTTGGTTGATACGTATGCTCCATTTGGATGAAAACCTTGATTTTAAATAAATAATGCGCATAGTCTACAGGATCCTGATGGAATGAGTGGAGTATGAACTTATTTAGATTACAGACTACATGGGACTAAACCTCCTGACGTTACTCCACTGTCTTGTGCGTTACTTTTAGGTAAAAGGTCGGAGAAATAGCCCCCAAGGAAAATACCTGTTTTAGTTGGGTGCCCATGGAGTATCTCAGTCCACACAATTATGACACTTATTTCTGCAGTGTATACCAACTTTACAGCCCAGTTGTACAAGTACTTGTATTAAGTAAAATAAACTATTTCAGCTGTGCATAATTGAATATATAAACCATAAAAAACAAACCTGTAAAGAAACTTACTCTTTCACCATTATGTCGAAGGACTAAACAAACTTTTTTATCAGCGACTTCTTGTGGACCAATTTCTAAGCGAATAGGAACTCCTTTT